CTCTTTTCTCCGCGTTTTTAATTAATCGCGCCCGTCTCGATCTGGGCCGGCCGTGGTCTCTGCATTCATCCTGTCCCCGGGTTCGTTTTATAACTCATTATTCTTCTCGCGGCGGGGCAAAAAAGGAACATGACTGGGGTGACGGGACCCGTTGAAAAACGGCTAAACAAGCTTTAAGCGCGTTCAATACTACAAACTACAGAGAGAAATGTATACTAATACCCCCGAATCCTCTGAGCGAGGGGCCGTACGTCGAAAAATCGACGAAGATGCACTGGTGATTGGTCACCAGAGATGGTAAAATTGATTATCTAGACATAGAGTTTCGTGTAACGAATAAAATATTGAAAAGGTACTTCGTCACTTTTTAATCGATTAAACCGTGAAAAGTACAATTTTTAATAGTCAAATGATACTTCTTCTGGAGTGAGTAGGCATTTTGTAAACCTCAGGACCTTACACTTTACCAAAATTTTACTTCCAATGCTATGGAACACCCGAAACATTTTAATGCCATTTATACAAAGACTTTCAAACGGTTTTTGATATGGTCAATCACAAGATTCTGGTTAACAAACTCGAATGTATGGGTTTTCACGGCAACTTACTTCAATGGATCCCCAGTTACGTGCACGACAGATTATGCAAAGGAAAATTTAACACTGTCTTTTTACAACCAATTCACACATGTAGCATCCGGAGTGCCTCAGAGTTCACGTGTAGGATCACTCCTCTATAATCTTTTCATCACTGACATCTCCAAAACCTTTAAGCACTCAAAATTTCTATTGTATGCAGATGACTTGAAAATCTTTTAACAAATGGTTCGTTATGCATAAAATTAATTCCATTATACAGTTGCAACGCGCAGCAAATTTCTGTTGAAGAAAAAGATAAGGATAAAACTGCATTCTGTACTGGGACTGGATTATGGCAATTCAAGCGAAATCCATTTGGATTTTGTAACCGCTCCAGCCACATTTGAACGTCTTATGAAACCCGTTTTAACAAATGTAAACTGGAAAATCTGTCTGGTATATCTAGCCGATATAATTATATTTGGAAAAGGTTTTCAAGAGTCAACGGCCAAGAAGGATATTAATAAAGGCTCGAGATGGCGGACTGTCGGGGTGACATATAATGTTGAACGCAAGAAGCACGTTAGGTGTTTGAAACTTATGGAAGAAAGGTCTAAAGCATAGTTTAGAAGTAACAAGTCTAAATTGTTACGAGCCAAAGAAAAGTGCCACGAATTCTACTTGAACCTAAATATGTACATCTCATTAAAACAATTTCAGTTAAGAAGCTTTTTTAAGACTTGAATTGAAATACATAGTGAGTTTCGAGAATCTCAGGGCAATATGTGAAAGTAATACGAATCTTTAACAGGTTACTATGTCACTGAAAATACTATTCTATTATCTATTATCTATTTAAAATTATCAGGTATACCAATAAGCAATTCACTATAGTACCAATATAGTGGCAATAAATTGTTGATTCAGAATATACTTTTTCCAATCTTAATTACATACTTATAACAGATATTCTTTCGAATCTAATTTCCAATGTTATGTATTCAGTCGAAATAGCGGAGAATGATAGAAACAAATAAGGAACACCGTTAAAACAGGGCAAGTATTTGAATTATTCCGAAACGAATACGTTGTTTCACGAAAAAAAATGGTAGACTACTTATTAGTACACCCACATAATAATACATTTTAAAAAAACAAGAGATTTTACATCGAATGATCGTAAATATTATTTCCTGTTGTTTATTTTTCCCAACTCCATTATTCCGAAGCTGTATTATGAATAAAGAAGGAAACTGATACGGGGACACGTAAAAGTAATTCGTATCCACGTAAAATAATCCTTTTAAGTCGGTTCGCGGTACACGTTTAATAATAGCGCACTTAATACACGACAATGGCCGTACCTGACGCGTATGTAAACTAACCACTCGGCCGCGGGACTGTCGTTAATTAGAAACGCGCGACGGGCGCATAAGGGGGAGGGGGGGGGAGGAAGGAATTTTCCCGCGCAAAAGCTCATGCGTACGGCGAACGAAACCGGGGCCAACATATAATCGAAGAAACTGTGTCCGGTGAGAGGGAAAATAATGAAAGAGTGAAAGAAAAAAAACAAAGAAATACCGAGAATCCATTTATGCCGTGAAACAGCGAGACGTCTGATCAATTCGATCTCATGTCACTGGCACGTTGTTTCGGTAAATCCCCTTTCACGAAAGTATCTCCTTCTGTGCTGGAATATCCTCCCCGACAACGTGATATGATTCCACCGCGAAAAAATAAATCGAAAAGGTAAAATAACATCGTTTCCACTCGTTTTATTCGGAACAAAGTAGATTCGAAGGACTGGTCGGATATCATTGGCAAGAACAGTATTTTCTTTCATTTTATGTTTACGAATGTATCCGAAACACATAAGACACAAATGATTGTTTTGTAACAGATTATCATTTTAATGTGTTAAAATTTTAACGAAATTTTACACATTCAAGATACCTTGTTAAACAAAACTTATCGAATTTTAAACGAAATTTAAACTAACCTTACGTAATTATGTATAAAACAAGCATTCATATCACCTATCATTTTAGATATTCGAATGTACAGTTTTTCCGAGTGAAAATGACAGCAACGACAACATATGAAATAATGAAGAAAAATCGTCGCTAAAATCACGTATTGCGGCAAATAAAAATTTCCTACAGAAACAGCCCTGATTTCCCCATTGTATACGTACTTCGTGAAACTTTTCGTTCTAAAAGTCGTTTATATTATCATTCCCTCGATTCCTTAACTGATGCAACAAAAGTAGTTTCAACGCAACATTTTCGCACCAGAAATCCGTGTGACGGACAGTTTCACTCCCGAAACAAGTTACCTTTGCATCCGCAGTCGTAATCAAACTCGAAGTTCACTGTATTCACAGTAACAGAAAAAAAACGTGTAACGATTTTTAAAAAAAATCGAGCCTCATTATTTGTTTCTTCATTGAGCACACTCGGCAATTAACGACCTAATTAATGTCGTCAATTTAGTTCAAGTATCGATGTCACGGAGCAGACGCGTACAAACTTCACGAATACGGGGAGGGGGCACACATGATGGGGCACATTCGGGAAGGGCGCAAAAAAAAAACTTTCAAACATCCCGTACTTTTCGCGGTGTAAACACGAGGGCGTTCCGAAGATCCCGTAACTGGGTTAACCCTGACAGAATTCGGGACGCTGCGTGTCCCACTACAGTCTCGCTGGGTTAGGTTCAAGGAAACTGTTCACTCTAACCGTATTAATTTATTTAAATTGTCCGTCAAACTGCTCTTAGGAGCGAAATATTCGGTAGAAATTTTTCAGAATCTTTTCTTGTTTACGTTCCTCATCTCCAGGAAGAATCACTATTAACGTATTTAAATTAACAACCAAACTGTTTGTGCGACCAAAAAATTCGGTAGTAATTGATTTGAGTCTTTATTTGTTTGCGTTACCCATCTTGAGGAAAACGCACTATTAACGTATTTAAATTAACCGCCAAAGTGCTTGTACAGCCAAACATGCCGATAAACATTTCTGGATAATTTCGTTTCTTTATGCTGGTCACTTTGAGGGAACGATTCGCATTTATTTAAACGAATTAACCGCCAGACAGTTTACGAAGCCAAAACAGTTAATGAGAACTGTTGGTCAGTAAAACAAATTGTTATTGTCGACTGCTACAGTGGACATACCTACTATTGTATATTTCTGAATTATAACATATTTCATTATCTTTATATGACTAAATATTGATACTATAATTATTCACAATTCACGGGTGTAGTTATGTTTGAGAGAATTATTGGTCATATCGAACTTATTAATGTTATGGGTTGAACTGCCTATACCTAATATCCTTCAACGAACCGTGTTGTTACGAAGATTAATGTTTCCATGAAAATTATCATGACAATTGACAAAATTATAGAGACATTTAGCGAGAATAAGTAAAAGTAATGTATAACCAACGTTTATATCAAATGACAAAATTATTGCATGACTACCGAGCCTATGTAGTAACAACACAACTCATTAACCTATTAATCGGAAAAGTCCGCTAGTTCGTCATTTCGATTGAACCTTAACTTTCAGCAATATTGTATTTTTTTATTTATTTACCCAATAATACTCGCAATTAACTGTACCAGAATATTTTGCGTTCGTATAACCTACACTGTATTTACTTTTATTGCATAAGTATCTTGGTCGGATTAATTTCATTCGAGTTCAGCTTTAACATATTACCGCAGGGGGGTTAACCGTGGCCACGTAAATCTGTTTACGATCGAAATATTATCCTGGGTTAATAGATTAACAGACATCGTATTAGAGGCGTACTTACGGCGACACCCGGATATATCTCTAAACTCCTCCGTCACTTCGCCACCAATATTGCACATCGAATCGTCGGACACGTTCGTGGATTTCTCAGTTTCGGGGGGGAAGAACCGGATGGGCGGTTCGAAGATTGGTAACTAGGTTAATCTTGATAGGTATGGAATTCCCCACGGGATTCCTAAATCAGCGGCGGTGCTGCGAGCCGAGGAACCGATAGATCGATAATCACTCCCATCCATCCCCGGTGGGTCGAGATCGAGAAACGAACGGATACCGGATAAAATACCGTACGATCGTTCTGGCATCGACAATCGTATGTCGAGCGATATCCCCGCGCGACTCGTTCGCTGCTAGACGCTAGTATACTTCCGGCGTTTCAAACGTTTCGCATTTTCGCGGCATAAACACGAGGGCGGTCGAAAAGCTCGTGCAACTAGGTTAACCTCGAGGCGTTCCAACGTACGTTTTGTTCGACACACACGCGCGCACGAGAGAGAGAGAGAGAGAGAGAGAGAGAGAGAGAGAGAGAGAGAGAGAGAGAGTTAGGAAAAAAAAATAACAGACGAAAGAAGGAGAGTCGGTTTATACCGTTACTCACCCGCGACGCAGCCGATCGGGACTGACGACGATGATGTCGACGGCGCCGATGACGATGGCGACGAGGACAGGTTATAACCGTCGATTCCACCGTGATCGGGGCTGACTCTCGACAGCTCGACACGTCGAGGTATCATACGCGACTGTCGGTGAACCAGCGAAACGATGACGGGATCAGGCTAGGGGACCACGGCCCGTGGTTAGTACGCGGCGTTCCTCTATCGACTCGCGACGACTACAGGAACAACAACGAGAGACCACTCACTGTATCCACCGACCGCGAGAGCGTGCACAAACGAAACGACAGACGGTCTGACGATGACAACGACGAGCGGCGACCGACCTCGCAAAGGGTAAAAAACGTTTCCCTGCTTCCACCACCGACACCGCCCTCGCGCGCCTCGCCACACTCGCCACGATGAACGCGCAACCGCGACGCCGCCTCGGCACTGCGCATGCGCACCGACCCCCTCTCTTCGGACTGTCACTGCACCGCGCGCCGCGGTCCCCGCACGGAATCACACCGCGATACCGGGATTCCTGTGCAACGGGGGAAAACTTTTCGGAAGCGCATTAGATCCCGCTACCGATGTTTCCGACGTGTTTCTGTCACCTTTGTCAAACTGCCGACTCTACCCTATCCCCCACCCCCTCCTCTTTCCACCCCCGTTTGTCAAACTTTCGGCTTAAGGCGTTCCCTCCCGACCCATTCGCTTCGGTGTTGCCGACGAACTCGTAATTAGAGTCGATTCGCGCTATCTCGAAAATAGACTTAACACGCTCGACGCCCGCTCTACTGTTTAAACCGTTACTCGAACGACGCCGGGTCACCTGTGACCCACCTATGTATTCTCAACGTAGCGATAATGACGATAAATTTGAATGAAATGATAATAAACAAGGTCTTCTGTGTGTATAACGAAAATTTTTTGAATCAGTATTGACCCGGTAAAGGCATTCTGCAATGTTGTCAGACGGTTCGAGAGTGAAACAGATCATATGAGAATAACCTCTCAAATATGTCCTAGTATATGTCTGCAAAAAACTAACCGTATTTTCTAGGCTTAAAGTTAATGTCTTGAGAACGACGTATTTCTATTAAATGCAACGCAATTTAACAAAATAGCGATATTTGAAAGCAAATAATGTTGATGTAATAGTTGTACACGAACTTCGAATTTTATTGGAATTTCTTTTCACTCTTCTCTTTTCTTTCTTTTTCTCGGGGTGTGTTTTTTGTGTTAATTAAGGGCGAAACAAGTTATTGTTGAGGTCTAACCCGACTTATCGTAAATTAAATCTAGCCTGAGATTTTAAAAACGACATCTCCCGAACTACCGGCGGCCCCCGGGAATGCAAATTAGGTGTAATTTGAAGTTGGCGCGCGCAATGACCGCGTCGGTCTTCGCCGGGCGTTATCTCGTTGAAGGTGCTTCCGGATCCGGCTGTACGAAGATTATTTCATTCATGAAAATGACTACAAAGTTTCTCTTTTACGAAACCGGATGAAAATTTATCGTATCATTAAATATACATAAATTATCGTTCATTATAACATAGTATGTATAGGTAATATTTAAAAAAGATACATCTATAACCGCTTAATATTAAAATTGCTTTTTACGTTCTTTATACCGTTTATACCCTCTGAGCGGAGAAAGCAATTTTAAAAAGTCGAAGATGAAACCAGCTTTCGTGTTTAATTTTGCATTCCTTCGTATCGGCAAAGTGTCCCCTAAGTCCATGACGGACAGATTGTAGACAAGCTGTGAACCAAACTTCTGATATTCTCAAGAAAGGACGAAACATTAGATAATATAAAAAACATCGGGACTATAAATGGGCACATGAAAAATTGATATCACTCTATCTTACTGGATAATTTGTCTTGTTTATGTTCGTATACAAATTTATTTGTGTATTCTAATATCACTGTGATCGGCCATTGCTGGAGTTTTATATGTTAATATTAATTCAGAAAATGGCATCGTACAGTGCAGTTGTATAAGTTTGAAGGTGTACGAAATGCACAAATAAATTATCGACAACATTTTAACGTTAGAAATATGCTACGCGATGCAACAATTTTTCTTACACGTTTACTTGACCTTATTTAGATAGATGGTGGACATATAGAAAATCCTTTCTATTATCGTAGTACTTATTTTTGCCAATTGTTCATTATAAATATAATTTTTTCAAAACAATAAACGAGTCTGTTCATTTATGAAATCCCTGTACTTTCATCCCATATCTGTGATTGTATACAACGTTATACCGATCACCTTGAAAAAGAAGTTAATATACGAACTGTACATTTCGGAAGTCCTCAAACTGCACGAAACCGTGGGCGTTATCGCCTGTCCCGAGTTCGTGAATAAAACGATACAGGCGAAATCCAGAAGCGAAGCCGATCTAAAATCGACTCGCGACGAAGCCCTTAGTTAATGTAGATTCGATTAAAGTCGACCAAGTACGAAAAAGTTTTCCAATCAGAATGGTACGTGCCCCACGAGCCTTTCCACCGTTGACCGACTGGGGAGAGGAGGCAGAGACAATCGGTGGACCAGGATGAAGAAAGAGAAGTCCGTCCAGTATCCACAAGGACATCTTAGCCCGATGAATTCTTCGGCGGAGCTTTAACGCGGCTGGCTCCCCTATAACTCGACCGCTTCACAGTTCTTCACTTGACATTCCCTCGCTATTTTTTCTCCTTTTACACACTTGAAACTTCAATCCTGCCTGAAAAACCGACTGGCTACGGTTATTATTAATAAAAGCTGGATGGTCGAGTGTCTCCTTAAGTGAATGTGAAACTTATACAGGCCGTTTCAAAATTCGGGAACTCTTTCTGTGCGTGTCAATTATATCGATACATTCGGATATCAGTGTAAAAATTATATGATGGTTGGTGGTGACGTGCTTGGAAGGCCGTGAAAATTATATAGGGGGTTTAAACATTTTCGAAATAACCCTAGAGAGCATATCAATTCACGCTAATGCATGTCGACATAAAGACTTTTTATAAATACGTGTCTGTGAGATCCTGTTACAGTTTACGATTGTTCCAGCCGGAGGCTTTAACAATCTATAATCCAAGAGTTAAAGACATGAACGTTTAATTCTTGGGTCCCCTATTAATACGAGTTTAGAGTGTCGCTAATGACAACAACGTTATGCATTTTTTTTTCTAAAAAAAAAAAAAAAAACAGATTTCACGGGCCATGGAGCCTAAGTTTTCTGCGTGAAATCGTTGGACGATTAAGCGTTAATATTCATTTCAGTTTAGTGCGTCCGCTAAATACAGTCGCGGTATTTCAGTGAGAGGCGAAAAAGTTTTAACGGCGGCGACTCGTTCAACAAATCAATGGACGAAAAATATTAGTTCACGAGAGAGGTTAGCGGCGGGAGTGGGTGGTGCGGGGCGTTATCGATGCCAGTTCGCCAGAAAAGAAACAGAAATTGCTAAGTACTGCGAAATTCCGCTCGTAACAACGCGAGGGTATAAATACTAGTCTGAGGGGGAGGCCGGTAGGCGTCCCGACGTGCTCGTTTCCACGGGCAACGTGGCCCAAATGGATCAAACCGTATCACGTGTTTTAAAGCTCCGCGAGCCACCTTTATCGAGCAGCATTTAGTTGCTGCCAAAGCGCGCCGTATCATGATTAGTTTTACAGCCGGCTGCTCGACATTCCCCCCGGCCATGAATTAGATCGACGATAGATCCAGTTGCAATTTTCCTATTGAAACTGCGACATTTCAGCCGCGGCATAGAAGTAAGTGATCACCCATGTCACGTTTAAAAAAAAAAGGTATTAAACGTTGTATAGTTTTGTAGCTTATCGTATTGTCTTGTGAATTTCTTTGAAGGCTCAATTTCCACTTCATTGAGTAGTGTTTGGCGTTAGTGAGGCATAGATGTTTTGAAGAATTCCATTTGAGTTGGTAAACTGTCTCTGTATATCAGTGGATGATAAAGAGCTCTGTGTTCATCTCTCTGCGGGTTTAAGCTGGATAGACAACGCTTACGCTACTACAAAGTAATAAATTGAAGCAATACTCATTTGTTTCGAATCGCATTTCGAATTCATTTCCGAGGCAAGACGATTGACAATTCACCGTCGAAGGTTAAAATCGCCTAGGGAGCTGTGAAAGGGCACAAGAAAAAAAAAAGAAATTTCGACGCCTGAATGGCCGGGGTCGAAAGGAACTGCACATCGCAGTTGTCCCCCCAGGAGCGATCGGTGATCCTGGCCATGCTCGAGGAGTACACGAACGCTCTGGTCATTTACCACAACACTCTGGAAAAACCAGCGAAGGACGTTAACGATATCGCCGAGTGCATTCTGTTCGATACCGAGTACGTACGTTACACAAACGCGTTTTAACGGGGCCGCAGTCGAGTGAAAACGATCACGAAAAATCGAACTCGGGGAAAATAAAATTCTACCTTGCAGCGACTTGGAACTGTCGAGCATGCAGCTCAGCCCCGACGACATCGCGAGAATCGAGGAACTGAAAGGACAAGCTGTGTCCGCGAAACTTCACGAAGACAGGTCCGCGAGAAGAACTGGAACTGGGCGCTGTGTCGACTCGGTCGAGTAGTTCCTTTCGATTTGGTTGCTCCGCTGCGAATAAACACAGCGAATGTTCATCTTTTCAGTCGCGTAATAAACACGATATTTTTTGGCCACTGGATCCTGGACTGAATTATTCCGTACGGCGAAAGCACGAAACCCCACGAACAAAAAAAGGCCACTTCAGGCTTGAACTCTTTATCTTGACCCGTTATTTGGGTATCGGTATATTAAGTTGTTGTGTAAATTGTACTTGTTAATTCTGTACTAAATAAGAGAAGAATCTTACTTTTTCCTCGAGGGAATTGTTCTTGTAAATACATATTTCGTCTAAGACAAATGGCCATTAGAACGTGTCGACCCTTTTATGGCTTTCAAATCTTTTTCGTCATGATTTTCTAGTTTTAACGTTAAATTGAGCAACCAAAAATATTAAATTTAAGAAGAATATAAAAAGGTTGTTGAGTCGATGTTCTTAGTACTGTTTACCCTATAATTGCAGAATATGTAGATTTTGTTCGATTGTTTTTCACGTGATCGTGAGTAGACTTTGTAGTATTAAAATTAATTGTGGTGGATAGAACTTTGATCCACGTATATGTGAACTATACCCTAGTTTACTACCGTACAAGATGTGACAATTGATTATTTTTAACTCACAAATATGCAATGCAATTCTCAATACACATCCCTTTCATAAAATTCAATTTCTGTCTAATAGATTTTTACAAACTAGTCATGACGTCAGCAACAACCGAATATCCCTTCACTGTTACATAACATTCTTCCAATTGTGTATTGTAGTTGTTATAAATTCTTGCATCCAAATCAGAAAGAACACACGACGACTCGACAAGCGACGAAAGAATGCATCGCTACTTTTTCAAATTTTTCGGTTCTTATTAACGTCCCTAGCCTGTACTTACAAAAAATCATGGAAGACCTCAAGGATGAGGTCCGCGAGAAAGGAACGTTCGAGGTGTTGACCAAAGAGGTCGAAAGATTGATAGCCCAGGAGAAAGAGGAGGAGACTTTGCGTCTGGAAACCGAGAGGCTGGAGAAACTCGCGGCGGAACTGAAGAAAACGATCGCCGAGGAGAAGATCGCGAACGAAGAGGAGAAGAAACGTATACTGAACGCGCTCGCCGAAGAGAAGGTAGCTATTTCATTGAATGAATCAAAGTATATTCGATCATTCTGACACATTGATACACTGAGGCGCGAGAAAAAATGGATCGCCTGAATAATATAAGGATCTAGTCCTTATACTATTATAAGTCAAATATCTTAACTACTTATTGAGAAAAAGAATTATTAAGTTTTGGGTTGTTATCCCCGTATAACCCTTGTGAGAGGGGATAAAGACTTGAAATTAGTCACAGTATTTTTTTAGGCAAATATTTGGTAAACGTAAATACTAAGATTGATGGTGGAACCGTTTTCCCACGTTTACCCGGCTAGATCCTATAAGAAATGAGTCAAAATTGACTTCGATATGGAGAGATTCGATATCACTCACATTGACTCTTCCATCAAAGAAAGGCTACGACTTCTTCATTTACGCTTCGCTCTAAAAACTTTCAATATAAATGACTTGAAATTTTGGTCGCTTTCAGGGCCTTATTGTAAAAAGTGAATATAGTTTGTTTGAAAATTTTGGCAGATTGTTTTAGTGAAGTGAATTTAATATGGATGAGCAAACACTTATGAGCAATAATGTATGTAGGAAACACTATTCGGGAATTAGTGGCGAAACCAAGATGGCGGCAACCCTCGTGTTTCATGATCGAAATCGGAAGCTAGTTGTCCCGAGTGTATCCGTTGGTTCTCGCGCCCCTGGTATATGTTTAATTCGCGGGTACCAGTAATCCCCACCCTTTCAAACAACGTAGCGAGACATAGAGAAACTAAAATTAATTGCGGACGCGGAGCTGGATTACGTTACCGCGTGGGAGGCCGCGAGATACGAGCAGAACGCGGCGCGCGCTGACATGGAAATAGAAAAGTTGGAAAAGATATTAAACGAGTGCCGGACGCGCGAGAAAAACGAGGAACGGGTTCACAACCAGCGCACGATGTTCCTGACACGTGATATAAAGGTGAGCAGCTGAATTCTGTTTCGAAAGTTTCCGTTGAATCGACGGGACAATTGTTGTAGTGGAAATTCCGTCGAAATTTCTACGGTCTTCACGATTCATTACGAAATCTTAACACGTAACCGGTGGCCTGGACCTTTTTTCGCGTGATTTCCTGTTTAAGTCACGTATAAACTATCGATGTAACGTTCCCAGATTGCAATTGTGGCGGGACTTACTGCACTCGCTACCAGAGGGCTACCGAGACGCAATACTTTCCCCACAGTTACCCTATCCGTTAAGGTGTGTATCCATTTGTTGCGTATTCTCATATCGTATCGTCACACGATAATTTTTATACGCAACGATGCAACGCTTACCCGGCTACATTGATACACAACGGTGATATGATACAAGGATACGCAACAAGTGGATACGCACCATTACCGATTCCTATTTGTACCCTATCCCTTTACAAATCGATGAGTCCATTATCAGGCCCACAACGAAGCGGTTTCGACCCTTTTCTCTCCTCCACCAGTCCACTTATTTTATTACATCTGTCAAACCTGCACTGCGAAGACAAGCTCACCAGTGAACGATGAGCTTATTGCTGCTTCTAATCTGAATCTCAGAAGTGACAGTAAATCAGAAAGGTGAATACGAAGAGCAGAATATTTTGTATAGGTTTCAGAGAAATCCTTGTGTATAGGAACGATGCTATGACATGATAGAAATCGGCTCAGAAGTCCTCTGGTGATGACCACGGGATGTAACCGCCACAGTGCCATTTATGCTCATGAATAGTGAGGATACATTTTTCGAAAACCAAAACGGCTTACTCCAAAACGCCTTGACAATAATAAACGTTCGGTTCGTGTTGTCTCGTGGAACAGAAAAGATTCTAATCTCGCGACGAATCGAATGTTCGAGCGGATTACCGAACGAGCCCGTTTTCAAACCCCACAGTCGTTCGAGGAGAAGACGAGGGAATGGGAGGAACGTTACGTACGGGAGAAAGAAATGCACGAGAAGAAAATCCGGCAGCTACGCATTGAGATAGCGGCTCGTCGAAAGGAATTGGAGGAACTTACGGAAGAGGTACTCTAGCTTTCCAAACAATAGACCTTTCTTTCCTCCCGCGTTTCCGACTCCTTCATGTTTCCATTCGAACGAATCGAATTAATCAAAAACGGTAACAAAGAATCACTGCCTCCACGAAGACGAGTTTAGTATTACGCGACTTGAAGCACATCTCGCTCGTCCGACTTATATATTTTCGAACGATTACCCCCTTACGTCTCTTCAATCAACACAAGAAACTTTAACATTGTAGATATACGATTGGAATAAGCGTTCGGTAAATATTGTTTTGGTAAAACCATATACAGTACCGGAATAATTTTCATACTAACATTTTGACTGCCACGTCACCCAAATATGGGTAACACGTACATTGCAAAGAGATGCTGGATTATTTAACTACCGTTATACAATTTTTGCGGAAAATTGATATCGCAGCATGATGTAAAACATAAACATAAATAAACACATATATTTTCGACGATTTATGACTTCGGAAACGAAATAAAGCGTGTCTTACTACGTACGGTTTTTTTCACTGTGGCAGTCAACGTGTTAAATGAAATATTACTTGTTTTATCGAACTGTCCAGCTTTATAAGAAACTATATTTTCGAAATATTTTTATGTCTCCTGTTGAAGAATTTATTAAGACTTTGCTGACGGTATAACTTCAGGTTTTTCTAAAAATATTTAGAAACTACTACTTAACTTTATTTGTCAGACTTTATATATAGGAAAAGCGATTTTTTCCTATATTTTACTATTCTAGTTCTTATTTAAGGAAGAACTACTACATACGACGTCAACCGCTCTCAGCTTTTGTTTTTGAAAAGACTTCCTACTACGTCAACCGCTCTCACTTTTTGTTTTCAAAAAGTACTACTGCATCATCCGACATCGAATTGTTAAGTTTGAAATACAGTTAGGCACGAAAGTATTCGACCACCTTAGGTATTAAGCGAATTTTGCGTGAAAGTATAAATAGGTTTACAAATCAGAAACTATATCAAAATCTATTTTTAATGAACATTTATTAGTTTATTTTACCATTTTTATATAGTTATTTCTTTGCAAACCTAATTACAACTCCACGCAAAATTCGCTTAATGCAGATGGTGACTGAATACATTTATGACCAACTGTATATAAAAAAGTCTGTTCAATTATTGTTAACGGCTTCTGTAACGACAGTTGATTTATTATTGATATCCGTTGTAAATGTAATCCACAAGTAGATGGAAGTTTCACTGGATGCAATTGTGTTTTCGTCGATTATACGGGATTTGCGCGTCTCCCAGAAAAAAGATACTGGTCCGGTCGCGCGAACGCAATCATTGTCTCATTAACTATTCGGCGTGATCCGGTGATTTACCCGTCTCACGTTAAGCCTATTGGAAATCAAGCTCTGTAGCTTGCTCCCGTAGGCTTAGAATCTACGTGCAATGCGGAAATTCTGCCCCCCTACCCCGGGAAATCGATAACTCGTGTCAAGAACCTGTTTGTGGCCATTCTAAATCACGTGAAATTCCTTAAGTGTGAAACGAAAAAAATCTCCGTCATGCAATCTCATAATTTCCAACGGCCCAGCCGCATCGTAAATATTAAAGAAAACTCCTTGGCTGATTTTACACGTACCGTGTGTGTAGAGAAAGATCCGAACGAGCTACAGGAATATTTATGAAAAATCCAATTTTGCATAGGCCAATTCACGGGGAACGAGAGTTACGCGGACATTTATTTACCGCGTTCGGGATTTTCATTTGATTGCAAATAATTTAAAAATATTATCGAACAGAATTAAAGTTCCCCGTTTATTTATTTTTCAAATATGAATATACAAAGTTTGTAATTTATTTATAAGACAGACGGTATTCGATGAATTGATGAGAAACCCCTAATTAACGCGTGTCAACATAGAAGTGCTCAAGTAATTCCTTCTGCTAATCAAATATTCAACTGTTCACTAATGAATTTCATGAATTTCGTTTTGTCTTCAACGATGATCATAGTTTGATGACTGCATGTTGTTCTACGGTATGAATATTCCAATTACGACGCGGGACGCGAAGTAAAAACTCAGTGTCAGTTGCCGTTTATCCAACATGGCGGCGGACGCGTTAACATAACTCCAAACACACTTTGCAGATAGAATTTACTTCCGATTTTCGCAATCTAACTAACTATTATCGCCATTGTTTTCTGCTTTTCTAAACAAGAATATAATGTAATGAGTAACAATATATGTACATCAGCAAATCCAATATGGCGGCCGTGTAATTCAAACTAGTCCAAGAAGTTTGCAACTTTGAGAAACAGAAATAAAAAAAGATACTATCGCAATAAAATAAAACATTATTTTTTACTCTGCGCATAGTATACTCATATAATAGTTTTCATATTTCCGTTGATATTCCCAATAAATTAGGCTTTATGTAACTTCGACAGTGTTGATCTTTCCAAGCCACGTTAACCAATCATGTTTTATTCAGTTCAACAGCTCCAAACCACAAGGTACACCCAATACCCAACCAAGAATCGAACCCTATTACTTCGGAAGAATGTTTCCCGACGGAGGAGAACATAAATAACGACACCAATAGACCGGGCATAAAAATACGATTAGACTTGAAAAACAACGGTCATGTTGGATTCTTTTTTTATCCGCTTCCTCGCTCATTTCCTCGTTTCCCGCCTTTTCTTTCGCCCCCTCCCCGCCCCTGCCGGTCACTAATCACTGAATGCAATGCTTCCAGCGGCGTTTCAGTAAAATCATATACGTACATCGTTCCAGTATCATCATAAACAGGAATTCATAGACACGTGTCTGACGGAGAAAGAGGCACTCAGGAAAGAAACGGAGCAGAAGGAGCGTGAACGAAGTGGCGCGATCAGGATTCAAGCCTGGTGGCGGGGTGTTATGGTGCGCCGGAAGTTGGGACCGTATCGACCTGAGGAGAAAAAGAAGAGGCGGGCTAAGACCAAGAAATAACCACCGGCTTGTTTCGATGGAACCCCTTAACGCTGTTACCGTGCAAACACGCGACCCAACACCCGAGCAATGATTCAACGAAACAATATTTACTCTATTCTTTTGCGATTCGGTTTTTGTAAACCACCACCACCACTGGTGAAGAAAATGCTTTTTGTTCATAGTAGAATGACGGAATCTTGAACAGAAATAACGGGATATTTATGATCCGAATGAAAAAATTCCGAATAAAAGACACGAGACTTCCAATTACACAATGATACTTTGTTTATGTCGGCAAACTGGGCACCTAACCTGATCACCCAAGGTATCCTTATTGCTTTAACGATACAAAGATGTCCCGTGAAGAATGTTGTTACGGTCGATACAGTTCAAAATTATAACTGATTGTACAATTAATACATTGCCGTACCATTTAGTCCGGCAAAATCCAGGCCAAGGTGATATGTGCGGAAATGCTGAGTTTTCTGGTTAGGTTCCCTACTGCCGAGATTGTTTAAATTTTAGCCCTTATCCCCATCAACCGCTACATCCACCATAAACATACCTAGTGCCTAATATATGGCCCGAAATTGACACCACCAGTCTTACTCGTGATATTCATGTTCGGCCTAAAATTATGATCACGAGTTAGACTCGTCGAAGTACGGCAAGGTGTTAAGTTCAAGGTGTTATTACAGTAATGTCTTAATGAGTGCGGCGTACTTGGGTCCGCTTCGGAGCATTCATGGCAAGACGGAAAGGTTTTCAGCAGCTCATAAATTTGTTGTTAACCCGAAACAGAGTCTCTGCTTAACTTCTTTTACTCTGTTTTGATTGATTCCAGAGGGCGACGCGCGCAATGGTGGGAATATCGCCGTTACTCGTGTCGCATTCATCGAGTAATCACTGTACTACTGTTTCCTTTTAAGTTATTGCTGCTTCATTTTACCTGAAACCGTTTAATCTTTATTACAAAAATTGTTCGATGTCTCTTTGACATCGGTAGAGGACGCAAAAATCTGTCTACAGAGGTCGTTCGAAATCAACTGGAAAAAAAAGAAGGAGGGGGCGTATCCACTACCTTCGACGGATGATCCCATGTGAAATCACAACTCCTCTTGTTCCTGACGCGATATGAAGCTGAGGAACGGTCACCGCGGGCGTATTGTTCACGCAAGAAGCTCATTTCCCGTGCAGCACTTCCTGGGATCCTGCGGTGTTCAGAAACGCCGCGACGGAACACCAGTAATATTCCCGCGTGGCTCACCGACCTCCGCCACATGCAGCACGAAACACACTCTCTACGTCTCTCTGTCTTTCTCTGCGTCCTCATAGAATACACTATTACAATAATTGAGGGCCCTTGCGGCTGTTTTCAGAGACGACGTTATTTATCGACTAAACGGGGCGCTACGTTTCCACACATACCACGCGGCTTCCCGTTTATCAAACATTTCTGTTACAGTGTTTTCGGATGGTGGGGGGGGGGGTGCTAAAAGTAGAAAAAATGCGAGGAATAAGTGATATGTAAGTTTTGATCGGGAATGATAAACTCTTACCCAGACCTGGATTAAGATTTTTGTATCCCAGGGCTATCAAACCTTCGAGGGCTCCTTCGGCTGCGAAGCGGGGAATGGGGAGGGGGAGGGCGGCAAAAATGTTTATAATAAAACATGCAATAAAATACATAGTCTTCTTTACTTACTGCCACACTAGTTCTTAAGTTATAACTCTTGATGTCTTGTAGAATGTCTACCTATGTATATTTAATCACATGGAACCCTTTCACGACTATACCACTTGAAACAAACATCGGTCGAACTCTTTCTCTCTTACAAATGAACTCATCCGACATCGTCATTTTGACGAAGCTCAGCTAGCTTTCTCGGGTTAATATTGTAAGAGAAAAAAAGATAGACGATCTTTAGTACCTGGATCGCGAGTCGAACATACGGGTCTTTAGCTTACCGGGCCGATTGTGCTGGTCTACTTTAATCAACTAGGCTACCTCTGTCGACTCTTCCACTTATTCTCTTTGTTAACACACAGACAAAGATGACCACAGCATTTTATTACTTACAATACCGATATCGACCGTGTTAGGTCCAATTATGATCCACACACCTCAATGGTTGTCGCTAATTCATCGGGAGGATATATTCTCCTAGTGTAGCGGGAAAATCCACTGTGTCTCCTGTATTATGTCGACGCAACTGCACGCTTGCTGGTCACACAAAATGAATTTAATTCCGATGTAGCCGCGGCATCCCAGCGAGGTACTCGGAACTGCGGCTGACGGCTAAAAATCCTGGCCGCAGGCATCCTCCGCCCGTTGTCTTCCTTTTTTCTCCTGGCCGTCGTCGTGCCGAAAAACACGCGCAGCCCACTCGTTCCGAGAATATTTAGCCATTTCGCTAGGCTTTTCTAGCGTGCGGCTACGCGAGGCGCAACCGTGTCGGATATTATCCCCGATTCTTGTTTTCTCGTCCCCATGAAGTCATGTCGATCCTGGCAAAACAAGCTATGCTAGCTCTCGGGACGCATGTTGGAGCACATGCAGCTCGTGCAACCCCCAAACTGGTGATTCTACATACAAAAAATAAATCGTAACTCTGGGATAATCTTTTCTTCTGAGAGGCTTCGTTTTTAGAGAAAATACAGTCCAAAAACTCCTGGGACACTAAATGAGACTCTTGGGGCTCTTACGTGGTGTCTCTTGAATGATCTCCCATTTGACAAGTCATTCTTATTAACTATCAATAAAGCACCTGGATTCAGGAGCACATTCAGATGATGAATCCCGTTCACAGGTTGACTGTCCAGCTTCTTACCATTGTCAAATTCAATCGTGATTAACACATTGGCGCCCGATTTTCGGCCTGTACGGTTTAAGTCTCTATCTGTGACACAGATTCGGGACAACGGGCACCAACGTGTTAAATACACCTGTAAAAATATTTACAATTAAAAATATAAATATTCAACTGTTGAATGTTTATTCGTGCATTTTAACCTGATCAAGGATGATCACCACGTCGGTTAACGTGTTAAGGCGCTAAATTTTCGGCAAGCCTGAGTCGCCTTTCAGACACTATCCGAAGTGTACCCCCGGGCGACACTCCGGTCACCCCGGTTCGTCCGTGGGAAAAGTCGGTGGCCACGGGCGGCCGACAACGTCCGTGCATTTTCCTTCATGAGAAATTCACGAACCTTCTAACCTACTCCGTTTGAAAGCATGCAAGCTCACCCCCGTGACCGTGCGGCCGGCCACCTCCTTAGATTACGATATAAGGAATGGTTAACGCGATGTGGCGGTGCACGCACCCGATAGTGCCGCCCCGCATATATGTATGTATGTATGCAATGCTTTGCTGACCCAGCTTTCGTGCCGGCTGCGTCGTAATTCGCGGTACGACCAAATGGAGGGGTCAATTCCTCTAAATGAAAAAAAACATACAAAGTATACATATAGGGATGAAAGGTTCTTCTCTTGCAGCTTTCAATTTCGTGTTTGGATATTGAAGCCAAAGAAGAGAGCACCCCTAGCTCCGAACAAATGTATGTTCACGATGCGTAAGCTCAACATGCGACCATCGAATATCATACCCAATAAAATGACCAAGAGACGTAATAAACGTCGACTAAACGCGATGACAGTCTGTGTTTTAGTGGAGTTCGAAACGTGCAAACAGTGTAGTTTTCCGAGTCGATCCAGCTGCGTCGCGCAAAAGAAAAGCTTTCGGTCACGCACATTTTCGTCGTTCTTGAGTTGTTATTAAGGTTATGTCTTTTATCGACGAATGATCTAACGATGACATGTAATAAAATAATTTTTGGTTTCTTGTGCATTTCATGGAATCAGATTAACAAGGCAAATCCATTCCAGCGGACACTCACCAACCCCCTATGATTGAACATTATTTTCCAATATGAGATTCTGATATTTACTAAGAAAAGTATTCACTTATTTCCACGTGATAAAAACAACTCCGTTTTAACGTTATTGTCATTTTTGATTCCTCCCAGAAAATTCAAAATATTCTCATACTTCAGAATGTTACATACTTACAGAGTTTTTTGTTCACTTTAGAATGAACATTATATTCTTCTACAATTGACACACTGGCTATATATATACATATATATATATATATTTCGTAGATTTCATTATTTTATCGATATAACCTTAAAGTCCAATCGATTCTGCTATCTACTCTTGCTTCCTTCACGAGCATACGACAGTACATTCTGTACCTTTAAGGACATATTGTAAATTGTAAATGGTTACTCCAATAACCATGCATGTTAATGTGGTCGATAAATACTTCTTGCTAGAGATAGTATAGGGGACAAAATGGTCAGAGTAGTTTATTGTTCTAATTGTCACTCTTCCATTGTGCGTAAAATAATTTACGGCATGGACCAAGAGGACCGGCCCAAATATTATCAGTCGCGATAACGAGGCATAACCAGCAATCGATAACTGTTCTCAGCCAACACTAGTTATCCTTCACACATACAGATGCAGGACGCATTCCTTAGAAGCATACGTATTCTTCCGCGTTGCATCTCTGTGGCGTGGGTGCATAGATTCATTGTTGTTGCACCTTTCTGCTCTGTTATCTCCGTGATTCTGGGTCAACTGCAAGACGAAGCGAAAGAAGTGAAACCGGAACGCGGCGAACAAGACGAAAAAACGCGGTGACGAAGACGGGAACGAACGACCGAAAAATATAGGGACGGTGAAAGTGGACGACCGCAAAAGGAAAAAGACCGAAACGAGGAACGACGTCGCGTGAGCATCGATACGCGGTGCCGTCCGACCACCAAATTAATGAAAATGACCGAATGATTCGTTGTTAATAAGAAACAATTCCCTTTTAAAGAAAACTGCACGCTCCTAAAAGTATTCTCAAGAACTGCCACATTGTTTTTCTATTTTTCTTTTTAGACGTCTGTGACAGTATTTCCTCGTTTACTAATGTTCGATGCAACTGAATCAAGATGTAGAAAAAGAAGACATTGGATTTAAACCAGTGACTACAGATATAATAAGACTACGGATGCCATTGTTCTCGAGTGGTCGTGAATTTTAGGTGCTGGGGACCCCAGAGTGAAGTTAGGTCTCTATCACCCAAACGAAATTCTCGTCTGTGGTACCACATCATACATTCATATGTATCCTACATGTATGCTGCAGTGCGAATGTGTTTCATATTCATATAGTAAGATAGAACAAATGGCGCTCGTTCTCGAGGCACAGATTCATGACCCCTCGACAACAATGGCATCCGTAGTCTTATTCTGTATATCAATCTGTTGTCACTGATTAAGCATAATTAGTTAACCTTTTAGCCACTACGCGCCACTAGAGTGCACCGAGTGCATTATAGTGATTTCCCGCGAAGTGATCGTTTAGATTTTTAGAACGAAACACCACTACAGTGACTCCCTTTTATAATATGTAATAGAAACCTCATTAACCAAACATTTGTTTATTGTATTAAGGATTTTGAACATTAAACTTTATTAAACTTCTTACTAGGTATATTGAGTTTCAATCATATATGTCATAAATGCATAAAATCTGCAGTTTAATAATAAGCAGTATCCAACCCACCGTCAATAATGCTTACTTATGTACATTTGGTTAAATAATAAGCATTAGATTCAAATATCACACTTCAAATGGTAGTTAAAGAATTATATACTTTTTTCGTTATTGTCGCGTATAATTTCCTATTATATATTGACTTTTTTAATATAAAACTTCACAAACATTCCTTCAACAAATATATGGAAGAAATTAGAAATTAAAATGTTTTTAGGTTTCTTAAAAGCAATCATCTGATTTGACTGAAATATTTCGAAATATATAAGATGGAAACTTTGCGATGTAACCTAACCCTACATAAACTTAACACGTACATGGTACATACCTAACCTATTTAATGGAACATGATTTACACGTGCACCACGGTGTGGCGCTGTAATTCGTCATGCAATCGAACGGATTTAATCATTATTCATAAATTTGTCAAATAAAATAATCCAAACCCATTGTATAAACATATTATTCTGTATGAAAAAAAACACGTTCCGTTACAAGAAACAATTTCTATCCATGTCAAGGACTGTTTAAAACAATGAGAGAATTGTATTAGGAATGGCGCCAAGGTGTCGCCATTTTCATGAAACTTTACCAAGACGGTAAATCGAGAAGGCTGTGGGGACGAAGAATTCCCGAAAGGGTGTGCGCGGTTCCGAAAACTACAGCAAAAATCGGGAAAAAGCAAGAATAATGTACTGGCCGTAAGTATATAGTCCTTCCGTGCTATTTTTGGTTGGTTTGATTCGGTTTTGGGTAGAAAACACGGGGCCTATGGCATGGGACTTCCGTTTAATGAACAGGAACAGGAAGTTCCTCACGATCTGAAATGGCAAAATAAAAACATCCTGTACAGATGAAAATTTCGAAAAATCTACACGCTAGGTTCTACGACCGAGTAAGCAGAACTAAATAGATCGTGTGAATTTCATCGAATTCAACTCGAATTTTCATTTTTTCCGACCTACTTTCGATTCCGGTACCTCAAGGTCGAGCGACAGTGACGAATTGTTCTGAATGAAAAATGGAATGGTCACAGCTAGGCTTATTTACTTTGAAAAAAGCCCATACGACATCAATTGTTATGGATCATTTGATTTTAGTGTGCACCAAAAAAAACGGGATTGAGGTCAGTTTACAAAAATGCAAGCTGAAAGTATTTGCACTAATGATATTGAGGGTCTGGACTCGGATACCCTTATTCCTGTACGTACAGAAATTACATTGTAATAAACAATATTATTTATTCCCTTTAAGGTATATTATCTGAACTATAGATATTTCACAGGTTGAAATCCTTTCCTGTGATGTTTCGCACAGGGCAAGATCCCAAGATGCCTTATCGATAGTAGAATTAGGAAAGCAACTACTTTTTAGTGCAAAGTATGGAGATACGGATACTGTCCGTGATCTGATGTGCAGAGGGGCACCGTTTACTACAGATTGGGTATGTACTACAACAATAAATTGTCTGAAATAATGATAGTGCAATTATTAATTAAATTATTCTTTGTCAGTTGGGTACAAGTGCGTTGCACTTTGCTGCGCAAAATAATCATTCAGAAACTGCAGAGGTTTTATTGAGAGCAGGAATTTCAAGGGATGCAAGAACAAAAGTAGATAGAACACCTTTGCATATGGCTGCATATGAAGGTCATCACCAGATGGCACAGTTACTTCTTAATTATGGTGCAGATGTTGACAGCAGAGATATGGTAATTAAAATAGAAATTACACAAATGAAATTGGTTTATAGAATATATAACTTGAAGAATGTTTACAGTTAAAAATGACTCCTTTACATTGGGCAGTGGAAAGAGAACATGTGGAAGTAATGCATGTTTTACTGGAACATGGAGCAGATGCAAATGCCACTAGTAAATTTGACAAAACTCCAATTAGTCTTGCATTGGAACACGACAGACTAGACTTGGTAGATATATTGCAACAGGAGAGAGAGATTGTTGGTGTCAGAGCTCATCAACAAAATCAAGCAAATACACAGGAACTAGAAGTAGCAACTCATAACTTAATACAATTGGAATCTGAAAGAGAAGAAGAACAGCAGAAATTTGAATTGACGCAGCAACAATCACAACCCAGGAGAAAGATTACTCAAGGTACTTTCCTTTGAAAGTACTTATTTTCCTTGTGAATTATTATTTCAAATTATTTACATTAAAAAATTATTATTCATCTTTGTTGAACGTTTAGTACAAGTGGGAAAGAAACCACGAATGATCTTTCAACAAATTCATGTTGGACCAAACACTGATGATGATCAAGAGAAAGAAGTTGAAGACATGGAAGAAATTACCAATGCAAATAATATTAATAACATTAAAAAACGCAAAGATGTTACAACTGTTGGAGGAGTGAATAAACAATTTAGGTTATTAGAGGCTCATGGAATCACAATGATACCTGTAGATAATGATTCTTCTATTGTAGAGAATGCAATGGAAAGTGGAAGAACAGTTGTTTTGACTGGTATAAAATACTCTAGAGTTCATGTGGATTGTACCACCTACACTTATTTGTCGGTGTTGATATTTCATTTTTGCAGAAGCTGGTAAACTTGCTCTAAATTTAACAAGGAACTCTTCGATCGGAGTGAAACGACTTCAAGTAGCTGGAAAGAAAGGAACTCCTAGAAAAGTGATAGCGATTAGAGCAGATCAAATTTTAAATCATAATACGCCCACTCTCACATCTAGAGGACCGAACATATTGAAAAGATCTTCTGTAGATAATAAAGCTGGAAAATTATTCATTTCATCTATCTCTAACACCACACCGGCGTCAACACTCACGCAGTCTAAGAACATCATTTCTTCGACGGAGGTATGAAGATAAAATTTCTTCAATAGGTTTATGAGTATACATCATATTTATTGTACTTGTATCTTGTGGTTTTCATAGAACAAAATCATTGGCTCACCAACGAAGATTACCGAGCCAATAATTTTACAATTAGATGATGAAATAGAAGAAATTACCGAGGATGATAATACGGATAATAATGAACAAGTAATGGACATTGCCCTTTTAAATAGACAATTAGCAGAGGCACGAAGACAAGCGGCCGAGTATCGTAAACGGCTGCAAAAGAAAGAAGAAGAGGCGGAAATTTATAAGCAACAACTAAAAAACATTACAGCGCAAAGAGCATCCAAGTGATTTTGTATCATTATACATTTCGCATTAAGCTTCATTTTATGAGTAGCCCTGCTTTTTCTACGAAGGAACTTTTTGCAAGTACAATTTTCAGTCTCATTGATGAGCTCAGTTGAAAAGTGTACCTCTATATTCTAAGCCATTTTTTTTTCAATCTCTCATTGCAAAGCATTATAATAGTACTTATGCAAGCTTTTCATTACTAACTGCTTATTTTTGTAAAGAATATCTTAAAGAATCTTCAAGATTCTTCAGCTTTTCATTTTACAGGGCATAATTCTATAATATTTAATGTACGTAAGCTTTTTAAAAGATGCATACAATATGTATTATTGAGTCTGATTATACAACAAAAAATATTTTTTTTTTAAAGATGTATATAAATACACAACGCGTTTAATTTGCTTTCCACATAATATCTCGTGGTAAATTGTAATAGAATTCTTTTTTAATACAATATCAGTAGTTTCCAACCATTTTAAATTGAATTTCCAACTCGAAATTCATTGGACGTTGATACGTGAACGTATTGCACGATATTATTACCTATTCAGATATTTCTCTTATGGAACACAATTCACAAACAGCAGTTATTGTCACTGTATAAAATTTTCGTACCGAACATGTGTTAGAACACCTTAATGCAAAAGAGAAGAAAACCAATATAAAAAAGTAAGTAATAGATACTATAGAAGAATATGTATTTTGAAATTGTATATGATCTATTTTGTACATAGTAAATTTTTATATACATTGTAAGGTTGCATAATAATTAGAGAATGATTGCGCAGTATTGATAAAGAAAACTAGAATTACTTAAAAGATGAAATTAAATGGATAAAAAGTTTCTATAAAAGTTTTCAAATTTTACGCGTAAAAAGACTTAAAGTAATGAATATTTCCTAACTGTTTATATTTTGTAGGGGAGAAAGGTTGATGTCATTTGGTGAAAAAAGTTTATCATGAAATGTAAGAATTCGAAATTGTAAAATACGATATTGAATGTAACGTAATAATTTTTCCATTGAATCAACGGAAAAGGTATTTTTTTATAAGCAGAACGTCTAAAGCGAAAAATGTGGAAAGCAAATGATTCAAGTGAATAAACCTTTCAGTAATGTAAAATCAAACTCACTTAGAAAGATAGATTCGCGCGTTATTTGGATACCGTTGTCACACTTTGTATAGTTTCGTACAAACAAGGTGATTTCATTCCAAGTATCTCTTCAATCGTTCCAATGAGATAAATGCGTAAGCTCATTTGAAATGTGTTGTGAAAGAATGAATAAGTAAGTCTCTTCGTTTTTATCTAACAGCATGTATGGTGCTACATATTCAAATGGACTCCCAATATTGGAATTACTAGTTTATAAACACATGAGAATCACATGTACAGCAGACAAAAAGAAAAGAAAGTAGTCTACTCAGGTACCAATGATGGAGTGTATAAAGTTTGAGAGGGAATTGAACAGTATCAAACATTATCAAACGCAACCAATACCATAATACTAAGACTTTTTCTAGTAATATATCTTGTAAATACCAACATTTATACATACGCTAATAGAACTTGTTGAGATGCAAAGTTAGAAAACTTTCATTCAGAAATAAACATTTTATATTTCACGAGTTATTTGTATTATTACGTTATTTAAGATTACGTTTACGGTTTTGGAGAATTACTTAAAAAAATATTGGAACAGTACATCTTATGCTACTCAAATACTTTTCAGATCATTGAATCGTTTAAAAGATATTGATTATTTGTAAATAACGATGCAGCAACCACGAAACATGATTAAAACGTAACAATAAAGGCTCATTTATATTACATAGAAGCAATAAAAAGAAATACATACAGTTTGTAAAAAGATAAGCGTTCCCGCCAGGATTCGAATCCAGACCTGCCAGATGGCAGTAAAGAACATAAACATCTTGGTTATTGATGAAGTTGAGAACACTACCTCTTATTAGTAAAGTCGGGCGAATACCTTAAAATGTTTAATTTTTATGTACATTATTTTACAAAAATAGTGAAGTAGCTAATATTTGCGGATTTATTTATACAAGCCGTTAAAAATTATACTTAAAATGCTTTCTATCTTTGAAGGTCTGAACAACTGTTTGTTTGAGAAATTTACTTCACAAACTGTAATCCTCAACACTTTGAAACTTGGATGACGATCGCCAACATCCGAGTAGTAACGTATTCGTACTGATTTGAAATATTACAATGAACGTAAATATTCGGATAAGTATTGCTCACAACAATTTTGAACTGGAATCGTTCCAGTACCGCTCTGTGTCTGAAAAGATAGGATAAATCAGCCTTAATCTTTTCCCCTAACTTCATGAAACACATATGAGATCGATAACCTAGCTGAAATGTCTCCCGCGCTATCGATTTGAAACGAGCTCGTGGCAGCACCGTCAGCTACAAAACTTTCATATTTTAAAAACTTCGCTTATCGATCAGTTCGATGGATTTCTGTTTCGTCACCGCTTAACAAGTCGTACGATAATGTCCTGGAAATATTCCTCGATCTGTAAGATCGGATAGAGACCAGTCGGTACCATACAAGGGAACATTCTTTCCTTTACTACAAACGCAATGGTGTCGACAAAGAGTCTCTACACTGCATATAGGTATACACACGTTCTCGCTCGTGTTTCTGGCTCCCGCGATCGATCGCAGCAGTCGCACAATCTCGGCCTGCTGCAAAACGTCGGCGTGTTTACTGTGTTTGATGTATAGCGGCATAGCGTAGGAGGCTGTGTGCAAAGGCTTATCGTAAACGGTGTGAAAATCGGGACGGAGCCCATTATACGCTCCTGTACAATCTGATAGTTCGCGCTCGTTTTCCTAATTTTCGTAAATGACCGTGAGTGTCCTCGGGGGATGGTAAGGATGGCAAACAAAGTACTCGTACTCTATACCTGTAGCCGTGATCGATCGAATCGTTGCCCCCGTTGTACGAAGTTCCACGGAACTACGCAGAACTACGTCATTGAGCGAGAGTGTCGTTCGGAGGAGCCTTGAACGTGCGCTCGACGTTTCCCATCGTAAACATTTCCGCGCTCTTTCGATAGAATCGATATTCAAAGGCACCTCGAACCGACTTTATGGATCGTTGATCGGTACTTGTGAAATGGCCTTCCGGCGGGCATTTTGAGAAACAGAAGTAAACCATAAGTGGGAGCAAATCTGGGCGTTTTGATAACTTATTGAATAACATTATTTTAACATTTCTTCTTTAAGCTTATTTCAGACATAATAAATACTTCCTAGAAAAATGAAAGATATTCATTTGAAATAACAGATTCATTTTTTATTTCACAAAGTAAATTATTTGTTATTTGATAAAAATAATTTCATTTTTATTGTTCATTTAATGTCAGTATCTATGACTTGAATAGTCACTATAAAATGGCATTTAAATGTTGTCCAGGTCTGCTTAAGTTTAAATGAGAGTCAAAAAGAGAGATCCAGAAGGAAGTAAATGTTTTAACATTTTGTTTACACAACCAAAAAAGTTTCCACACAACTGTAATAAATAAAATGTGTTCATTTGTAATATATTAAGCAAAAAGGTATATCGTAAAAAGCTTCTTTGAAGAAAATTTTACATTAGCTAACAAAACAAAGGATTACATTTAGAACTACCGAAGCTCATGTTCATAAATCATTTGATGTATGAGATTCAATCATATATAGTGATTAGTCTAAAAGGTAAAATTATTAGCTTTAATGGCAAGATTATGATATAGCAAAAAGAGAATGAACATTTAAGTTATAAATATGTGAACCATGATCAAATACAAGGATACAGCTCTTTTGGTTTAAGGATGCATAGGTGCTTTAGGAGCTAAAGATTTCATATTTATTGATATAATGAATCAACATATTTAAACTTATTCAAATAAAATCTACATGCAATTTAGACAAATCATGTCACGGATAGATATTCAACTTCCTCCAAAAACAGGATCTAAAACTTATTGTTAAATGTAATAAAGACTTAAGTTACTGTATAATGCACAAAAGTAATTACATTCACCAAAAAGAAGAAAAAACTAGTTTAAAGAATAAAGAATAAGATGTTCATTATTATAAGAGCAAAAGGTACCCACCCTAATTATTAAAAATGAAAGAAAACTACATTACATATATACTTAATGAATAAGTTAATGAACCACAATTATTCTGTATATAATTATAGAAACTTTCCAAACTTCCTTATTTTTTTTTTATTTTTAATGTTACAACATAAACACAAGATGTCAATTCTTTCAAAATTACTTGCTCTATCGATTCTACAGATCATAACCTATTACAGAAAATGTGCATATACATAAATACATTACAACACTAAAATAAATTAAAGTTGTGTATACGGAACTTCTTTGATCCAGTGTATAATAGTATTTCGACCGCTAAGCACGCACCCAATCTTCCTTTGCATCTCTATCGACATCTGTTCACCACACAACCGTCAATATTTCAGATTCCAAACATACAGTATATTAAAGAGATCTTTCCAGGGCTAATATGCTAACAGAAAACACAAAAGCAAAAACAAAAATCGTTGTGATCATTCACAAACGTCTCTAAAGGGATTTCAGGTAATCAGTAGCCGCGTCCGGTCGCCAGGTTGAGAACCCCCTAAATGTTTCGTAGCCCGGACCCGAAGGCGATGTCCAGTGCGCCGCAGTGCAAAGAAGGGGACTGGTTTCGTTGTTGTGGTGGTCGCGTGTCGCGTGCTGGTTATTATTCCTCTCGACATACCCAGTGATTCGAGAGCGACGAGGATTCTCGGCGACGAAACGGCGAGGTACGAATAACGTGTCCGGGGAACGCGATACCCCGCGATTACGTGCATCGTTATTATTGCGGGCGAAGGTGGGCGCGCGCGCGCGCCGCGCGTGCACACACTACACACACGTTACACACGTCCCCCGCCGTATATTATATACTCGAGAGGCGCAACGATCTCTACTTTGACTGTGTGTCAGTGCGTGTTTGTGCTCGAGCACCGTGATATGTAGAAAAGTGCGAAGTGAACGAGAAGGGGAGAAGAGGAGAGCCGCGCGCGAGAAACCATTCGTTTTCTTGAATCGTTGAAAACGATATCCAACACAACAAAGTTGAAGTATTTTAAGGAGTAACGAAAACAACGTCGTGAGCGGTCCATCAATTGCCTGCGCTCCGCCGCGTCTTTTCACTGCCCGCTCGCGTCTACGATCTGGTTTCAGCGACGCGTGTGCGCCCGCGTTCGTGTGCTCGCTTGTGTGTGGTTTTTGATGCGGGTGTGAGCAGCAGGTAGAAGATCGAAAGGTGCAGGCGAGAAGAAACTTGAAGCGGGAAGCGGCGTCGGAAACGTTCGCAAAGGCCGGCGTTTCGTCGCTTCCCGACGGGAATTAAAAATATTCCCGAGCGTGTTGGTGTTTTTTGTGCTACACGAGCCCCGCTGCTCGGCCTCGACCAGCAGAGGCGGTTTCACGAAAATGCGATACGAGTTGTTAGGCCGCCTAGCGTAGTATATCGCCTAGCGGCGACGGGCCCAGAGAGAAGCGGCGGAAAAATGGCGTCCGATAACGAAGCCTCTTGCGCGAGTGACCCAAATTTCGCTGTGATCTGCTCGTTCCTCGAGTGCTTCGGCAAGTCCTGCGGCGTCGTTTATCCTGATATCGCATGCCTTCAAGAAATGCTCGAGAACACGCAGGATGGTGAGTAAACTCCAGCGTGCATACGTGTATGCGTAGGGAAGAGAGAGAGAGAGAGGAAATGACTGACCCGCCCCCGCGAGGCCAAAAATCTCCGCGTACGATATTACCTTTTATTTTCTTTCCAAATTTTGAACCTATTTCCCTACCATTTAATTGTGCGTCATTATACCCACTCCCGCTAGCTTTTTGGCTCGCGCAGCAACGATCATTCACCAACGAGGTAAACACGCTACTCATGACTCTGTTTTCATCCCTTTTTTTCAGCGGAATTCGATTCACGATTTCTCACTGATCTCTCATCTTTTGTTTCACTGTACTTTCGAACTATGCTGTTTCGATCATGGATCATGGATTAACGATATATAATAATTGCAAGCAGTTACGAGTCATCGATACACTTCAATAATATTATTGACAGTCAGATTCGATTTGCTCTCGTCTGTTGTTATTTTCTCCCGTGCTGCCACCTCCCTTGTTGTCAACCTCGATTACACGTGATTACCAGTTACGAATCTCGCGGCGATTTTATCGATATACAAAAAAAGTGTTCGTACGCTTGACTAAATTTTCTTAATAAACTTATTATTATTTTTTCATATGTTTACAAACAGTTTCTATAGTACTTTATAATCTGTACAGTGAAGAGAATAATTAATGTTAGAAGAACTGATGTATTATTTTCATTTTGTAGTGGGTATTTAAAAAGAAAAAATGAAATCCTATTCAATTGAAATGAACAGATTTCACACGGAATAATTATTGTTGATCAATTTATTCATTAGCTATAAACAATTTAATGCCTACTTCACTTTTAATAACTAATACCAGCCTAGTTTGAGATTATAATATTCAACATACTATTTTTTTTATTCTCTGTTCTAGCTTTCTGTTGTTTCATCATTAATTGAATCCCATCTTGTCAGTGTTACATTTTTTCAGACTGTAACTGTAATTACTCATTTTCATATGGGAAATTCTTAACAAAACAGTTCAGTTCACGTAATTGTTCATTTTTATGTAATGTTCAATGCATTTGCAGCTTCACAGTTTTATCAGTCAAAACATCTTCATCTATGTCAATTAATATTGTATTTTCTTTTATTACTCATTTTATGACATAAATATATTTCTAAGTACATACTTACTATTCATTTTCTTGGGTCACTATAATTTGGCTCAATAATTTGACTGAGATAAAAAAGGTTTTACAGAATATAGAATACAATGGTGTTATTGATGCATTACTTATAATACACATATAAGTTTTACAGTTATTCTTGATCCGATTTTGGTAGGCCTTTAATCGGATTCAGGATTCTAAGTCTTTTAATACTTACCATTAAAAAGTAATATTTGATATTTTTCATACATTTATTTATTTATGCGACTAATTAAATGTATTCGTTATAGTACCCCAACAGTTGATCGATCTACACATCAAATTGTTGCGTAAAACACGGAAAACAGTATCACCAGAAAAGTGGGAACGAGCGCTGGTTAAGTTTTGCCATACGTATTCTAATCAAGATGGTTGGGAGCTTGAACGTTTTGGTTACAAAAAAGCCCGTACTGCTGTTAAGCTACGCTTACTCAAAGTATGAAGACAAAGAATTAATTATGCTTCATAAAAAAATGCGAATAAGTTGGAGCTTTAATTTACAATTAAAAAACGTTTATATCTAGAGGTATGAAGTTCAGCTTGTTCTACATGAGAAGTCTTTATTTTTACAGGTCCTTTTGGAAACGCAATTCGACTTGAATCAAAAGTTTAAAAACGAGGTGAATAAATTGGCAGCTACTGAATTACGCGTGGAGCCATTAGGCAGAGACAAATCTGGTTTGGCTTATTGGTGTCAGCTCGACGAGGAGTGCAATATAAGGGTTTACAGAGAAGATTTAGACGAGGAAAATTGGGAACTTGTAGCTAAGTAAGTTTTCAACTAACACATACCATATATTCTTTCTTAATCATTTTGAAACATTTTCCAATATAGATGCTTAGTTAACATTTTGTTAATACCAGGGATCGAGAGGGTGTTGTTAATCTAATAAGCACCTTATCGAACGGCGAGATTGGAGCTATACCGATCAATGAAGATAGTAACAGTTTAGAAATTTCTGAGAAACCTATTATTGATACGGGGCAAGTAACAACGTCGCCGAGTTTGGAGGACGAGGCTGTGCAAGAAAATGGTGTCCACACTGAAGGTTTGGAAAACAAGGGATTGGAAAAGAGTGGAGTTCAAGGTTGTGAGGCTGACAGAGAACAAGATGATGCCAATGAAATTGATAATGTTGAAGAAGACGGAGACGCCGAAGATGAGGTGACAAACGATGAAAGTTCGAAACAGAATACAGAGGAAGATGATTCTCAGGAAACTATACAAAATCAAGTAATAGAGTCAAGTTATGTTCAGATGCCTTCCTTAGTGGCAACATCTTCGAAAGTTGTTAACGGTAATGTTGATACATTACCAGAAAAAGGAACAACTGCATCTCAAGCAAAGGAAATGAACATACCTCAAGTAACAGCAGCTACGCTCAGTACATTCAGTGCTAAAACTATAGAATCATATAAATCTGAAGAACCTATAGCAGTAAGTAGTTCGAAAGTTGATGCAGAAGAGTCAATGCCTCTTAAATCAATTGAAACACCTGTTATTACGTCTCCTCTTAAGTTGGTAAATATTGCCGAAATCAAACAACTGCATGAAGAGAAGGTGCATTTTGGGATAGCACCAATTGGTACAGGGCTCAGCGTGAAGAAACAAGAAGATTTAATGGAACAAGTTGTGAAACCACTTGATAAATTATTTAGCAAAAATAATCATCCTTTCCCATCCGCAGATATACCAACGACACATAGTAAATTATCCGTGAAACCAATTGATCAGTTGGCTGCGAATCTTGTCAGGATACAATCGGAGAAACTTGAAAAACCAAGCGGCGCGAAATCGTTAGAGAAAATAGCCGAAAATTTGGCAAGATCAGGTAGCATTGTGGGAAGCGTAGCAAACGGAGGCGACGATAGATTACCACAAGATTTCTGTGCAAGAAGTCAAACTGAGAAAGCTGATGCGCTCAGAGGGCATAGGGGTATGGATTTATCTACATCACCCAGAGGCTGGGAAACCGCTAATGAACAACATAGGCCGATGGATTTCTCTGGAATGGATTTATCTAGTCGAAAATTTAATAAGAGTATGGACTTACCCTCTCCCGGGTATAGAACGCAAGATTTCCAGCATAGAGAAATGGACCTCAGTACGAAAAAATTGAACAAACCAGATGTTACGAATTTACCTTACGATGCTCGGGCTGTGATGATGCGTAATCATGCGATGGTAACGGACTTAAGTAAAAGGCAAATGTCGTTTCCCGCTTACGACATGTCGTCTACTCCGTACCATAATAACGCCAGAATACCTACTAAAGAAGACCATAGATTACCAAATTACACTATACTTCCGGATCCAAGTAAGATAACAGCTTTAAGGATGAACACAACACCGGTAAAACGTCCGATGGAAGGAGACGATATGCAACAAGAACTTTTGAAGCGAATGAGAGCTGACGTGATACCGATCAGAGGATCTATGGATAAAAGACCAACGATTGGTACTAACTGGAGGGACGAAGTTAGCGAAGCCATCGAAGAACCAATGATGATGATTCAAGGCGAAGGTTCTGGCAGCGATTGCGATGCTGTGAATCCTGGTCTCGGTGAGGCCGTAGAAGAACCCATAATTTTTTTTTACGGGGAAGGATCGGGAGACGATTGTGAAACAGGTAATCCTGGCGAAGATGCATCGGCTGACAATAAAGAAAGCAACGAATCAAAAAACGAAGCTGACTCCGCTACTTCATCTGTATCGCCGAACAAAAGCTTAACCGAGGACAACACTGTCAACGAGGTGTCCCCTGGATCACACGTAGCGAATAAGAGTACCATAAAGTTGAACAGAAATTTTCCTCAGTCTAGTGATAATGTAAAGAGTAATTGTCAAGTTGTAGGCTCTACGCAAGAAAAGCCAAAGTTCAAGCCAACATTGGGTATTCAGATTATACCTAGAAACAGTAGCAGTTCTGTTAAGAGGTTATCGAGATGGGATGTCGGGAAGCCAGATGAGAAGACAGAGTGCGACAGTAGTATCATATCAAATGAAAGAGACATATCATCGAAGAGAAATGAAACTGAAAATGAAGATTCTACTAGCGAGAAACAAGATGTTAATGTAGATGGAAATTCTGTAAATAGCGAAGACGTAAGACTGCAGGAAAGGAATATTGAAGTGAAACATACACAGGAAGATGCAGGGGATAGTTCTGCTGAACAGAAACAAAATTCCACTGTTCAAGACTCTGTGCAATGCGACTCGTCTATATCTTTATGTCAGGCGGACACATCCGAAGCGGTCGATTCTTGCACAGAAGCAACACCTACAACACATTCAACAAATGATAAAGAACTTGTACAAAATACTTGTGACTCTGACAGTATAGTTTCGCAAGAAACAGATACTTCAGAAAAGGTGGACAATGAATGTAAATCCGTAGCATCACCACCGAGATTTTTTTTTGGGCCTAATTGTATATCCTATACTTCTAGAACGGAAGTATTTGAGTCGCAATCCGACCATACCGTTTCAACGACTATCCAATCGAAATCGGACACATTGCAGTACGAATGTGTTTCTTCTTCGAAACCTGTCGAGGATGTGATTACTTCTTACAAATCAGACGATTTTGATGTGACGCAAACGAATAATAATTCGTTGAAAGTCAAATTGTACACTCCCGAATCAAACATTTCGCTCTGCGAAGATGATAGTAAAGGTAAAATGGAGCTGATCGAAGGGCCAACTAATACATGGGAACACGCAGTTTCTTCGAAGTATTCTGCGGAAGAGCAACACAGTGCAATGTCGAAGACAGAGGCTAATTCGCCGAATTCCGAAGTGGCGTCGAAATCGGCAAACACTTTGAAATCCTCTGTTACCGACAGCATTGTACAAGATCCTATTTCTAGTAGCGAAACCACAATGGATGAGTATTCGGAAAGAACAGAATCGTTAGATGCAATCTCACAACCTCACAGCACGAATGATTTGAGTAAAGATGATTCCGATACAAAACTGGAAAGTACAATTATCATACCATCTGAAACACAATGTGGTCTAGCTATCGAGTCAACGCAGCATGAAGCATTAGAACAGGGATGCAGTATGCTTCAAGGACAATTACAAAGCGAGAAGCCAGATTTGGAAGACAGTACTATGACAATTTTAGAAACTTCAAGCTCTTGTTCCCAAGATAAAGCTGACTGCAAATCGTCTGATTCGTTAACGTTTGAACAAAAAACGGATTCAACGTCTGTTAACAGTTCTTGTTCAAGTTCACAGCTAGAAACGGGATACGATAATAATTGTTCGAGCAAAGCCGATTGTTCCGCTGATCAAGAAGTGGATAGCTCGGCGGGCAAGGAGACAGAACGGATCTTCGAGAAGGAATTCGATTTGCCTGATGAGAATTCTTGTAAACAGGTCGAAGAAACTGATACTCTCTCAGAATTATTTAATCAAGAGGAACGATCAATAGACACTGATAATGAAACAGGGAAGAACCAAGCTGGCTCCGATGCAGACTCAGCAAGCATTAATTATGACAAAGGAAGCGAGCAAATCGATGCGTTAGAGGACGCTAGTGCACAAGGCAACGTTTCAGGGAACGTCGAGGAAATGAAGGAGAATTTGCTAGTTGACTCAATCATGAAAAACTCTGTGCCTGATATTAAAACTGATTTAGATGCCGCGGACAGTTCTGCTGTTACTAGTTCAGAGTCGATCGAACAATATAACAAAGACGCGTTAGTTCCTACAATAAGTAGCTCGGATGATGCTTGCATAGAAGACACTTCATTGCACGAAAGTGTCGAAGTGCAAGCAGACTCTGAGAAATCGTCCTTTAAAGATGCGTGTCCTATTTACAATGTATTACCGGAGATAGTACCTGACACAAATAATATTAAACCATCCGAATCTGACGCTGTTGAGAATACGGAAGAAATTAATTTATCTAATTTAGTTGAAACTGCGAATACATTCGAGGATGCTGCATTGGAGAACCGAAGTTCCTGCGTCGATGAAGAAACAAATGGAGATAGAATTACGGACGGTAAATCATTGGAATCCGATGAATCTACAAAATTACACGACGAAAGTATTTGTTCCAATGAGACTTTGGTATGTGATAAGGATGCTTTGTCTGAACACCGTTCATCTACTACGGAAAAAAATAATCCACCGGACATTGCTTCCCAAGATGAAGAAATTGAGAATCGTAATATTGAAATCGTTGCGAAGAAATCTTCCGATACTGCGATAGAGTCTGCAATTTCAGAAAATGATAACACGGATCGGTGCAAAGCCGTTTTGAATTCTACCGAAGAGAACGATCATGAAGATAAGAAAGAAAATTTAACCAGCACCGCCACTGAAGATGTAAGTAATACAGAAGATGAAAATATTGTGAGATCAGAAACGGAAGAACCGGAAGTCAGTATAGAACCCATAAATCTCCAGGAATCTGTAAGTGAAAGTAAGCCGTCTTTAGTTGCAAATTATGAGAGCTGTGATTCCAGTGATGGTAGCGATGATGTATTCGAACCTGCAGCGGCTGAATCGTCTGAAGCCGAAGATAATATTTTCAATGACTTAGAAGATACTACTGTCGATGAAAAGCAAATCGAGAAAGGAAATCTCGAAGAACCAAGTCCGAAGAGTGAAATATTGCCTAATGAAGCACAAAGTCCATTCACTAATGATCCGCAGTTAGGGTTATCAACAGGAAGTGACATTGGAAATATTGTTAAAGAAGACGTTGAACAGACAGAAGAACAGAAAAATAATGATGAAGGAATGAAAGAAAAAAGCCAAAATCGTGATTTAGTTCAACATGATTTGAATGATAAATCAATTGTATCAATCAATGAACATAAAACTATAGGTAGCTCGAAAGAACGCGATACTACTGTATTCACGAAAATTGATGCGTTTCCAACTTCTTCTGAAACTGACGTTAAAAGTGTGCATAATGAAGTAAATAAAGAATGTATCAACTCAACATTAACCAAAACAAACAATTTGTTGGATACTGTGAAAGTTGTAGAAGAAAATAAAAGTATGGTTTCTATTACGGACAAAATGGGAAACTTGGTTCCTGAAGAAGAAGCTGATGTTAAACTTGAAGTAAGCTCTGTAAATGAAATTAAAACGTCTGAGTTAACTAAAGAAGTGAATGAATCTAATGATGCTAACGATCAAGTGACTCATGGAAATTTAAAAGGGCAACACTTGAAAGCAGTAGAAGAGAAATTGGTGACAAGTCTAGATAATGATATTAAATTCATCAAAAACGAAGAAACTAAACACGTAGCAGAGGAATTGCAAACCGTGGAATCATATAAAAAAATCAAAGAACTGTCGGAATTCAGCGATAAAGAGAAGAAATTCGATGTGAATTTGTTCGATGAAAGTCATTTAAATAAAGAATTATCAGAAGTCGATGCATCTATTCACCCAGTACCAAATAAATTTGACAATATATCTTCAGGTATAGATAAATCAGAGGTATGTAAAAATAGTATTTCAGCTATATCGGAAGACTTCAAACCTATGGATAACTTACAGTTCGTAAATTTTGTGTCTGAAAAATCTGAAAACTTGAATATTCTGGAGAACCATGAAAAATTTACTGAATCCCTCCATGCCATAAATAAATCTGTGGGCCCCCTCCCTGAGAATACTGCCCCGAATGAAAATGACAGCACAGCAATCTTCAATGTGCAGGAAGTAAAGCCAGGTGCAGTTGGTACAAAATATGATTTCAAAAATGAACCTAGTAAAAGGTTGAGCGATGTTTCTGATATTCAAGATGTTCCTCCATTAAAATCCAAACCACTGTGTCTAGATTCTACCAAACAAGTATTGGAGAATTTAACGATCTCCAAAATGCAATTGGAGAAAAATTCGGATAGTTCTAAACAGATAGACGTACCAGTAAATGAAGACATAATATCCGAGACCAGTGTAACCCAATTAACAAAAGATGATCCAAATACAATCCCTGCTGCCGTGCATAATGCAGCAAATGAAGATCAACAGAAGAGCAGTATCGAAGGGGAAGAAAAAAAAGAAAGCTCAGAAATTCAAAGTATAGATGTCAAAACGATCACTTTGGTATCGGATGACTCTATGGGACTGGATAATGAAAACATATTTAGTAATACTCCTGAAGAAGTCGATCCTTTGGCCTGTACCGATGATGATACTTTAAAGAAAATAGTCGAGAATGAACCGACACCGAGTGTCACTGTGCCCAAGATTGGTATACGAGTTAAACCTGTGTCTGAACTGATCTACGAAGGATGGAAATTAGATACCACCGAGACTCCGAAGATTTCCCGCAAGAGACGTAACAGTCGCCACGAGTCCAACTCAGAGGATGGAGGAAAACAGGAGAACGAGGACATGATGGGAGGTAAAAGGATAAGGTTGCGTGCAAGGCGTATACCAGACAGACAGTTACGAAAATCTGTGGAGGAGAGTCGAATCGTAACGATAAGCTCGGAGGACGAGACTGTAAAGTGTTCTCCCGCGAAACTGGAACAACAGGAAGCGAAGGATGGCAGCGACGATCAAAGTACCACCCCTCATTCGATTACATTCGAACGGAAGGCAAGAGGTCGTCCTAGAGGAAGACGACGACGGGGTTACAGAGGAAACGCGCGTTCGACTCGGCCGAAATACAATGAATTTCCGCGTAATCAACCCCCAGAAATATCGCCCGAGGTTCATCTTGATGGAACGCCTACCACCAATGATTCGTTGAATTTAACACCGATTTCGCAGAAGAAACGGAAGAAAAGTATGTGAAATCACGTTTGTTTCCATCAGTTTTAACGATGATTTAACTTATCGCACTTTATTTAATGATATTGTTTATAGGAAAAATGGTACTGGGTCTTGAGGTAGGAAGAGACATAATCGAGGAACAGTCAGGTATGATGCAGAATGATCCACCGGTTAGACAGTCTAGAAGGATAGCGCAACTGAAGATCAAAGAGGAAGCAGCCAAAGGGAGAAACGAAGAGGAAGTTTTACATGAGAAGAAAGAGAAAAAAGATTCCACGGAGAAGAAGAAACGAAAAAAGCAGAAAGTAAATTTCCATATTTTTTTTTATTTGAATTTTTGATTGATATTAATGGACGGTGTAACGATTTTAATGATTTTCAGCCTGAAAGCGACGAAGAAGTGATTATGAAGGTGATAGAAGTAGAAAAGAAGTCTAAGAAGAAACGTAGGAAAAGAAAGAAGAAGAAAATGTTGTCCAAATTTAATGAATCGAATCCCTGGCAAAGTTCCTCGGGTTCTAGTAGTGACGAAGAAATTGAGAACGACGAGGAAGAAGATGAGGAAGATGACATGGAGAGTGAAGGATCTTTGCTCTTCAAGAGTGATCATGAATTTTCACCGGAAAGTGACCTTGAGAAAGATCAAGAGTCTGAACCACTGAGGAGGGCCAGAACTGCCCAAAAAGGTACTACGTGATTATAATGTTACTAATTTAATGTTTATACTATAATCTATAATACATGTTTATATATTCGTCAATCATACTCATAGTCTTGTTTTCTGTAATTCTAGCTCAGAGTGATGTTGAAGAAGCAGATGATGAATATGCTTGTCAGAAATGTGAAAAAGCAGATCATCCAGAATGGATACTTTTGTGTGATTCTTGCGATAAAGGTTGGCATTGCTCTTGCCTCCGACCTGCACTCATGCTTATACCCGAGGGTGATTGGTTCTGTCCTCCGTGTCAACATGTAAGTTAGTTACCCTATAAGTATGTATTCAAATAAATTACATTATTTACAGTTTGTAAAATTTATTTTAGAACCTACTAGTGGTTAAATTACAAGAAAGTTTGAAAACGTACGATCAACTGGCGAAGCGACACGAAAATGAAGTATTAAGGAAGAAAAGATTAGCGTTTGTTGGCATAAGTTTAGACAATGTTCTTCACAAAAATGAATCCCCGCGCCAGAAAGAATCGAAAACGTCCAGTCAGGAATCTGACAATGGTATTGTTTTTTTATTATTTAAATATTTGATGTGACAGATTTTTCAAATTTCAGTAAATCACTAATGCGTATAAAATTTCTTTTAAGAATCTTCAACTGCTTCCTCTTCCTCGAGTTCGGACACGTCGTCCAGCGACGAGAGCGAGCCTGTGTATCAATTACGCGAAAGGCGAAGTGCCAACACATATAAATTCAACGACTATGACGCCATGATTAATGCCGCCATTCAGGATGAAGTGGAGGCAGTTCAAGGCGCCGGAAATCAAGGAAGGGGAAAGGACATAGCGACTATAGTAAACGCGAAAAAAGAGGAAGCCGAGGTAAAATTATCGTGTATTTTCCGTGTCATCCTACCACATTCACATTTTTTTTTCAAGTTTTTTTTTCAATAAAAATATTTGTACAGCTTCATTTCAAGCATGAAGAATTGAACATTGAGGAAACACAAGAGAGCAAGGATAACATTGATAGGAAATCTGAGAAAGATAGCGACGATGATTACAAAGTCGGGGGAGACCATGGTATGGAGGAGGAGGATGAAGAAGAAGAGCATAAAGAAGTAGTGAAGAAATTTTTATCGCGTAAGAAACACCGGAAATTGAATAGTCTCGATATAAGTAGCGAGGATGATCCAGAAAGCGACGAAGACTTCAAGGGCACGAGCTCGGAGGAAGAAGAGGATTTTGATGATCATCTGACATCATCTGACGAGAGTACATTCAACGATGTAAAACGGCGCGGTAAAAAGGGAGACTCGCGATCTGTACGAAGAAGTACCCGGGCGAGAACAATGCGCTACGAAGATGACTTCAGTGAGTATAATAATGTAAAAACTTTTAACCTGCTGTTATGTACCATAGAGAAGTTACGAATGATGAATTTTTCTCAGTAAATGACAGTGATGAAAGTGACAGACCAAAAAGGAAGAAATTTCGATCTACCTGGGATTCAGATAACGAAGACAGTGATAATTCGTGGCGACAAAAAAAGAAAAAGTAAGATACCATCGTTATTACTTAAACAAATTAGATCTTTAACGTATCGTGAATTTATTTTAGGAGTAAAACTACACCGACGTCTAGATATAGGTCATTGTCAAAAACAAAGAGTAGAAAGAAAAAAAAGAGAAAACGTATTATCGAATCTGATAATCAAAGTGAGAACGAGGACTCTAATGAGGAGGCAACGATTATGCAAAAGTGCGAACCTGAACTGGAAGTAGATATCAAGCATGTGGTATCTGAAGAGGCGTTGGATATCAAATTTGGTATCACAAATGAAAATAATGAAAAAAAAGACGTGTGTGAAACGAAAGATCCAAAGTTGGATGGAATGAACACAGGTATATCTGAAACACCAGGGGTGTTGCCGGTGGCAGTGGTTACACACTATAAGAAAAAGAAAGTAAGTGCACATTTATAAATTAATTTTATTCTCCAATTTTTTAAACGTTCCTTTATTTTAGGAAAACACGATGAAAACAAAAAAGACCCCAACAATTCGTAGAAAAGTATGTAAACGGTATTTCCTTACGTGTGTACCTGATTCTATATTCTGATTTTATCGGTTCAAAATTCATCGATGCTTTCAGATTATTTATGGCGGTCTTCCGGACGATAATAAGCCAGGGGAAGAAGAAGTTTTAGGCAGACGAACTCGGGGAAGGAAAATTAATTATCAAGAAGAAATAGCAACGGACAGCGAAGAGGTAATAAGCAAAAAATATTAAGTATAAAGAAATCACAGTTATTTGAGAAGATTATATACTTATTCTAATTTCATAGGAATTAAAGAAGGCACTGCGAAGAACCGGGGAAAGCGAAGATGAGTTTGTAGTGAACGAAGGTGAAGAAATAAACGATGACGTTGAGAAAGACTCTGATTCAGGTAAATTAGAAAAGCATATAATTGTATTACCTTTAATCTTGTACTTTAGTATACTAATGTGGAATGTATTGTCTTACAGGGGACATTTATAATCCTAAAAAAGATGGCCACAAATTAAAGAACAAGTCACCAAAAACCAGGAAGCCAAGGAAAAGCAAAAGTCCCGGAGGTAAACGAAAAACAATGAATGATGGAACACCAAAACAGAGAAAAAAACCTGGCCCCAAGCCTGGTAGTAAGAATAAAGCGCGAAAACAAAACTTTTTTGCTGGTTCAATAATTCATAGACGAGACGACCAAGACGGAGAGAAAGACCTCATGGCTAGTGTTATGGACAATCCTATAGGTGATATAGACTCCAAAATTGATGACAATCTGTCTGAAAACGTAGGATTGTCTGCTACCACTATGTCGGTGGCGGGTTCTTTTAGTGGAGACGTTCCAGAAGGTTCCCTAACAGGACTGGGCCCTGGTGAATTGGCTGATTTTGATGACGAACAAGTAGAGCAGATGATGATGGAGGATGAAGAATATGGTCGACGACAGTTGGAGCTTGCAGCTATTGAAATAGCGAAAAAGAAAAAAAAAGAAGAACGCGAAGCTAAGAAGCTGGAGAAGGCACGTTTAAAAGCACTGGAAATATTGGCGGCAGAGAGGCAACGGGATCCCAACGCACCAGAAGGAACTGACGGTGAAGTACCAAAAAAGAAGAAAAGGGGGCGCCGCAGCAAAGCTGAAATCCTTGCAGAGCAAATGCGCAGGGATGGCGCCCCTTCTCTGAACGCTACCGTTTTGCCTACCAGTTTATCTACTAGTTTACCTACCAGTTTACCTACCACTTTACCTACAACTTTACCGACCACTTTACCTACCACTTTACCAACCAGTTTACCTACCAGTTTACCAACCAGTTTATCTACCAGCTTACCTACCAGTTTACCTAGCAGTTTGCCTACTAGTTTGTCTACCAGTTTGCCGCAGAACGTAACGAATAGCATGTCGCCCACCATGACTCCTACTATGTCAACGATTATGACGTCCGATGCAGAGAGATCAAGCGAAGGACACATTTCCATGATGACGCCGGACGGACAACTCTTCAGTCCGGATGGTTCCCCGATGAAACCCAAAAGAAGAGGGCGCGGTAAAGGTAAAAAGACCCTAGCCTTGGAGGCAGCTAGAGCCGCTGAGGCAGCAGCCAAGGCTGCTGTTGAAGTTGGTCTAATTGGCATGGGCACCGACTCTAATCCAGAGATAAAACCTGGAGATATACCAAATGTACTTCCTACACCAGGTAGCAGCACCTCTGGATCGGCTCCGTCCACACCACCTGCCGGTGTAGTCACGACGCAGGGGCCGCCATCTTCACAGACACCGACCCCCCAAACTGTCTACCCCACGTTACCGCCGAACAATCAACAACAGTCTTCCGTAATCACTAGAATGCTCCAGTCTCAGCCTGTGTCGAGTAGTCCGCAGTCGTTCTCCGCTGCAGCCGCGGCGATGGGACATAAGTACTTCGGAGGACCGAACGGTGGAGGTCAGATAATGGGCGGACCTAGAACCGGTTACGAGATGCAACCACGCGGAAGGATCCCATCGCCGTACAGACAAGCTGGCCAAACCACAATGCCACCTCATTTCGCGGCTGTAAGATCAGGAACTCCACCCATGAGGATGAGAGTACCTGGTCCACAGATGTATCATACGCCTCATCATCCAATGGATCCATCCCCATCGGGTGGTGGACCGATATCAATTAACAACAGGGATCGTAGTTCACCGCTCGGGCCGGGACCAGCGATGATCCCGCCAGCCGCTGGAAGCCCCCTAGCCAAAGGCGGTCCTACTCCTCCTCCACCTCCTCCATACGTCCGTGGACCTCCTCCTTTGTCCAGGTTCGCGGACAATCCGATGGGTCCCAGGCATCAAATGCCCCCCTTCACGAATGCTTCACCAGTCAATCATAATATGCAACAACCTTCACCACCTCCTAACCGACCACCCGGTAATTTCTCACCGTACCATCCTCCACCGCCCCCTAATTACCATTACGGTGCCTATCCACCTCCACCGCCAATGTCCACGGCTGACGATGCGGCAGCGTATCAAGGTTCTCCGTATCCGGCGGACCATTTTTCGTCCCCCGCAGATAACCAACCGCCGATCCAAGCACCGCCACCTCCCCAAGCGCCGCCGCCGCCGTCTCAGCAACAGACACATCCGAACGATGCTGGTGGTGGGAATAAACAGTACGACGAGGAAGGTTCTGGCGAGTTCGGTGGTTTGGTATCGTACTTTAGTAGCCAGAGAGAGGACGATCTTGATTCGTAGCATGAGTGAGCTCTTGGCCAACCCTGAATCGTTAGATAGGATGCGGTATGATGGATGATACAGAAGCGTGTTTTGACGGTCCAGGTAAGATCGCAACTTTTGCTCGAGAGGGACAAGTACAAGAGAAACATAAAAAAGGAGTTAGCGACGTGTAATCTAATCGTAAATAAAACAAAAAAGTAGATATATATTATATACATATAATATATGTGTCGGGGCATTGGAATGTTTGAAATATTGAAGAAAGAGAGTATCGCATAACCTTAACACATTCGGAACGATGTGTCCTACCGATAGTCATTCTACGATAATAAAATAAGTGTCTGGTGGACAGAATGGCTCTCCCGCTGTGATTGATAGAACCACCAGATGTGTGGGTTACTGGTCAGAATGACCGATGAGTCATTGTATTACTTTATCTTTTTTCTTTTCTTCTTTTTATCAAAACATGCACCTACGTAGCTGGTAACAAGACTAAACCCAGGAAAAAAAATTACTACCAAGGAAAGAAAACGTTTCAGTGAAATCAAATTACATGTTTATTTATGAAAAATAACTTCGTGCTGAATGTGTTAACAATAACGATGTACGTTCTAGCATTATTTTATACTAACGCGTACTGTAATAATATTTTAAAACGTAAGATACACGCGTAGAGTTAGAATCGTCTTCCTCTTCGACCTCTTAAGCAAACAGTTGTCTGATGTCTACAAGTTTCAGAGAAGAAAAGATAGAGAAAGAAAGAAAGAATGAAAGAGATATAGAGTGTGTGAAAGGGAGAGAGAGAGAGAGAGAGAGAGAGAGAGAGAGAGAAAGGATAGTAGGCGAAACCAAATCCAAGGTTGGCCAAGCGAAGTAAAGAGGGAAATATTAATAATAGTAATCGCTAACAATGGAGCCTATTTCCTAAGAGTTGTAAGCTTTTTGTAATTAGTTCGAGTTTGATTAAATTTGTATGAAGTGAACGACCACACGTTAGGTTACAACGCGAGTGAGTGGAGGATGTATCGTGTTACGCTAGAGGAAGGATTATACGAAGATCTGACCAGAATTTTAACTAATTATTAATACCTCCCCGTTAGTAATCAGACGTGAAATTCGTCTGCACAGTTATAACCTCCGAATCCGCCGTAGATGGTCCCCCCCCCCCCCCCCCAGTAAACCTTTTGCTGTTGAAAGGAACCGATCTTAGTAGTAATCGGACAAGAGAAACTGGGAAGAAAAAAAAAAGATTATTAATGAGTTCGGACTACGCGCCGTTGTTACATGTACATATGTAAATACAATAAGTCCTTTAGATTATACATTACATGTATTATATATATACACACACAGGAGACACGTACAGACACATGCAAACGACACACGTACCTAGGGACACATCTACAGTCACTCAGAAATACTATAAAATGAATTAGTGCAAAGGGCACAAATGTAATATTTAAATTAAACAAACGTGGAAGAGAAACGAATGAAAACAGCATCCGGTTATAATAAATTAACAAATGGTGTGAAGACTACTACTATAATTATTTATAAATGAGAAGATTAAGAATTTATCATATAGGTAGTAATAATATTGTATTTTACAAATTTTACTTGATTATTATATTAAAGAGGAGAATGGAACAAAAAGCATTGAATATATATAGTTATATTAGAGAACAGGAGGCTGCCGAAGTCCAATTCTATAAGAAAGCGATGAGAGAACACGTGAAAAAATTTAACTAAACCGATATATGCGAAGCGCGTGTATAGATAATCGGCCGAAGAGAGATTGGAAACGATGAAGTTTTTTATTTTATTGTGGCGTGCAATTATAAATACATAATTAATATGTAAACTACATTAGGAATGTATATAATTTCTCCAGGCATGTGCAACCGTATCGACAAACACTCAGAAACCTTTTTTTTTATACATCTATATATATATATATATATATATATGTAATAAAGTATAAAGAATTAATTATTATATATTATATGAATGTGTCGTATTATTACAAATCATTATTGACTTGACCCTAGTTGCTCGTGCCTAAAGCGCAACTTCGAGAAAATACTGTCTCGTCGAATCTTTTGTTTGAAATGTTCTCAAGAACTGGATTCGTACGAGACGAAAAATGGATTGGTAACCAATTTGATCGAGTGATTCACTGAACAGATACGATTACGTGCAAGGTTGATATATTTACAAAATGAAAAAGAAACAACTGTTACTTCTTTGCATGGTTTACTAATTTGTTATCAGTAAGACAGCCTCCTGCTCTTTGATCGAACCGCAAAGCTGGGTAGTGTCTTTGCGCCACAAAGATCGTGCATCTGTTTAGTTATCACACATACGTGCATACCTAATATAAATAGAAGTTATATAAAATAAAAAAAAAGGAAATACATTATCTTAGGATTAGCTGCTTGGGATAGTTTCCTTTACATTCGTCGACCGTTTAACGACCGAAAATTGTGAATGAACGTACACAATTACACGCCGTATAATTGTAATAGAGAGAGAGAGAGCGAGCGAGAGAGATAGAGAGAGAGAGAGAGAGAGAGAGAGAGAGAGAGAGAGAGAGAGAGAGAGAGAGAGAGAGAGGTTTAACTACAGCTATAATTTTATTATTTTTACACGTATACGATATATTTCGGTTGTATACCGTTTTTAATGTACAATCTCTATCGTCTTCTTTAAACGTAACCGTGTGTGTCTTCGACCCGTTCGTCTTTAGGGTACGCTTCAAGGAAAATGCGAATTCGTTCGATTAAATGGTCGTTGATTAATCATGTGTGACGTTTCTATGAACTATTCTTAAATACAATCAGTGACCACGACACTTTGCAATTTTGAAACCTGATTTTCGATTCAAATGACCGTTGCGACCGTTGAACCCGCCGTTCCTTGTGTTCGACAATGTACAAAAAAAAATAGAATAAAACGCGAAAGTCATTGTTTTGAATGGTGTACGTGTACGTTTGTACACATATATTTATATTATTTTTGTGCATGACGCGACCGCATTTATTGGAATTGTTCGTATATTTCTCGTACGAAACACACTTTGTGATATGTATAACACGATGACTCGATCTCAAAAGTGGCTAAAACATTTCGAAACTCCACGATTTATGATCGATGCTTGAATCTATGTACGCGCATCAAACATTTTCGCATTTACGAGTGTTTCCTTGAAACGTAAACTGACGAAAGCGTGTCTTGTCGAGACAACAGTAAATGTGGTGCAGTTTAGCTTTTCTTTTCGTAAGGGTCTAGACCAAACGCAATTATTATATTACATGTTGTAGCCTAAATACAAACATTTTATAATAAAATTCAATATATTGAAATAATCTCGTAGGATGCTTTTCTCTTTCTTCGGAGCGTGCGAGTTCAGTACGCGTCGACGTCGACGGTGAAGTCAATCGTATTTATTTAATTGTTTCGATTCATAGCTATCAGACCTTGATATTAGGAGTATACATTCATTTCTAAGCAAACTGTTTTATTCCTAAATGGACACCATGAAATTGAACTCGTCGTGGAAACAGTTTTAAGAATGTCATTACAAATAAGAAAAGGATCGTAACACCGAATGTAATCTTCTCATTACATCTAATATTTTAAGTGTAAACAAATAACTGTCAAGTGGATTCACATGGTTTCTTTTAAACCCGTGAAATATGCTTCGAATGTTTAATATAGCATTACACCGAAAAAAGAAGTCTATCAGATTGATTGTGCAAAGTATTTTATAACAAATACAATGATCTTTTATTATGTATACAATAATTGTACTGAAAATAAGAAAACTTAGAATAAGATTTGCAATCTAAGTTGCTGTTTTGGTATATAACACAGAATATCATTCACTCTTAGCTTTACTTTGAAGTATTTTTTCCGCGGCGGGTTTCACTTCACCAAATCTGGCTTTCCGTTTTTCTATTCTGGCTTCTAATTCGGCCTGAAATAAAGAGTATTCATGAAAATCATGCACAACATATGCGTATGTAAATGTGGTTGAATGTTATATAGCTTTTTTTTATTTTATTCAATTCATCACCTTTTCCATCAAAGTAGATACAGACGTGCCAAACCTTTCTGCTCGTTTCTTTAAAACGTCGTATGTTGTGTGCTGTGAACGTATGTAACAAATTATGAATGTTTAGAGCACATCAAACGGCATTCTAATAAAAAAAAATATATATATATATGTACCACAGGTGTTTTTACAGAAGCAGCAGACTTATTGTTTTGATTATTAATACTGAATCTGGCAGATCTGGCTACTTTCTTGGCAGCTTCTGAGAGTGGCACTCCAAATTTTTTAGCCCTCATCTCCAACCTCTGCTCATGTACAGAAATTGCGTTAATATTTTGTATTTAAAATTTATTTGATTCAAAGTTAAATTATCTTACCTCTTTATCGCCAAGATCTGATAATTTAATCATTTTCCTTTCAGGTGGTGCTGTATCTATTATTTTTATCTCAGTCTCAACTTTCTCGGTTGGTTCATTTTTAGCTTCTTCGATTACTGGTTTACGGTTTAAAACTATTTTCTTTGCACTCACATTACTTTCTATGGATAATTTCCTATTCTCAATAACTTCTTGAGAATCTGGTTTACTCGATAACTCTTCTATTTCTTCATCCTACATAATAAGAAAAAATTCATTACTGCTATACCATTAAAAATCAAGTTATTGTATTAAATTTAAATTGAACCACTATGACTGTATGTATATTTTTAAGAAACTTTCGTACATAACATTTTTTTATACATTAATTAAAATATTTAAAGCATTCTATACCTCCATAAACATCCAAAGTCTAAAAATAACTTAATTTCATATTTCAGTACAAAGTGATAAGAATTTATGAAGAAATTACATAGAAAAATTTATATTCTAAACTATTTAATTGACTGCAGGGACTTAATATTCAACACTGATTTTGTCTATTAAATGATAATATTTGTTGTATTTACCCCAAGAACAGCGTCTTCATCTAAAATTTCTTCTGTTGTTTCGTCCAAAGATAATGCAGAATCTACCAGAAAAAATATAATTCTATCAATATGTAATTCTTTCGAAGTAAGTTACAAATGTTTTAAAGCACATTAACAAACACATGCCACCATGAATTGCTAACTGAAGCCTCTCGACTAATTCAGTTTTGTTACCACTGGTGGGAAGTCCCCTCTGTTTCAATTCGATCTTCAAATCCGCAACCTATTTAACAAAATTAATCAACACTCGTATGAGTATGTTTTGCTATGTAACCTTAATGACTAATATTCATTCTTTGTCAGGCTCAAAAACTGAACACGATTCAAATTATTTTCGAATAGTTACATGTATCGCGGGAAATGAATGAAAATGAAATAATTAATTTGTTGTGTAGAAAAAAAAAGTATCGAGGTTAACTTTCCGGTTACAGAAGCATATCAATAATATGTACGCGAGTTACCTTCATCTTTGAAAGTTCCGTGAGTCCTTTTTCATAAGATGAATCAGCCATGACGCATCTGTATTATTTTATTTCAACAGATAATTCTTCTGATTTTGCCGATTACCATGTCACAATTTGTTACACTATATGTACTATTGAGGGCTTGCCGCTAAACCAAAATCGTGTACAACATAAAAGATTCAATATCACTATCTTCATGAACGCAACTGAGTGCAACTGAGTGCAACTCGTGTAACTGAACTACTGATCCTACTGATCGATCAAGTTTCAATCACGAATAAATAACTAGAAAATGAACTATCATATAATAGTTCAATTGAACATAACACAGTAGAGAGAGTTGAACATTATTGTAATGACTATTTATTCTGAAACTAAATTAGAAATAAATGATACTTTGTATGTATTCTTCTGTTTTGTTTTTATATCTTAGAGATCGTCTCGTATTAATAATATATCTTGTGATTTTACCATATATAGCAGTAAAATTTTAAACTGTTTATTAATGAAATTGTAACTATGATTGTAACTACCAGACTCTGGACTGGTAAATACTTTAAAACTACCTCTAAGGAAATTGATAAAAGAATTATTTCCGTCTTCTCTTTTTTGCGGTTTCAAACGGCTTAATTTGTGCAAAATTGAATTGTCATCACCGCTTGCCATGCTTATAATTAATAATTCTTTCCCAGAAGTTCAAGTAAATATTAATTTGATGTGGACATCACATGAAACAAATATTTTTCTGAAATAATTCTAGTAAAAGATTAACATTGGTTCGTTGACACTCGTGTTTGCTAAGGATGTCGCGTCAGTGTGGGTTCGACATAAGGTTGTTACAGAACCTTAAAACTCCACATGTGTCACTTGTGTCACGAATGATCATAATTTTGTATAGCAGCTGTCACCATCAGTGGTGGCTGTAAAAGTTTACAATGGTGGATGAATCGACGAAGAAAACATTAAGTAGCATTCCACTGTTGCAAACGAAAGCAGGCCCCCGAGACAAGGATTTATGGGTGCAAAGATTAAAAGAAGAATACCAAGCATTAATTAAAGTAAATTGTATTATGTATAGTAGTACTTTCCATATGGTTAAAATTCTTCAAAGAAAAGTATTAATTTATCAAACACGTTCACGCTTGCATTTCGCACCAGTGGTCAGATTTTGATCCCTTAAAACTTTATAAACTTATTTAATTAATAGCATTTCTATATGCATTTTAGTATGTCAAGAATAACAAAGAATCTGACAATGATTGGTTTCGATTGGAATCGAACAAAGAAGGTACAAAATGGTTTGGGAAATGCTGGTACATTCACAACCTTTTAAAGTATGAATTTGAAATTGAATTTGATGTAAGTATTTCTGTTTATTATATATGTTAGCCTGCTATGACATACATAAAAGAGAATGTTAATTAAATAGTTGTGAAATGATTATACTTCTTAAGAAAGAACAAGACAGGGCCAATCTGTCTCATAATATGTAACCCATGAGGGATTTAATAAGATCACAAAAGTCAGACTATTGTGTACATTGGATTAAGCATATGCAAAATGGAATTCTTAATTGTAGATTCCTGTTACATATCCCACAACAGCACCTGAAATTGCTTTACCAGAACTAGATGGTAAAACAGCAAAAATGTACAGAGGTGGAAAAATTTGCCTCACAGACCATTTCAAGCCATTATGGGCACGTAATGTTCCAAAGTTTGGAATTGCTCATGCTATGGCACTTGGAGTAAGTTTCTCATATAATAATAATATAGTGCTCTTTCATAAATATTTATATTTTTAGCTTGGACCATGGTTAGCAGTCGAAATTCCTGATCTTATAGAAAAAGGTGCTGTAGTCCATAAGGATAAAATAGGTCAAAAGTCGTAATATAAAGAAATAGTGTAAAATATAAATGAAACTATGTTTTTTTAATTGATGATTCAGATTAACATGTATAGTAATCTTAAGGAAAGATTAATACAATGAATGTATTGTATTTTGTATTAAGTATAAAGGTTTACAATGCTTTATACATTATTTACATCATTTATCTTCATCTATTTTAATTTGTTTAGTTTCCTTTATAATCTCATCTAATCTGTATAAATTCTTAAGAGACACTTCTCCAGTGCCCCTGTCTAGAGGTTTTGGTTGTGAAGGGTCTGGCTTCCAGCCTACTAGATAAATTATTTGAAATGTTGCAGGAAGAAATGGTGTACCATCTTCTTTAGTTTGTCCATAAAGCTCTTTGTAAATTGCAGAGGCTGCAAGTATAGTGTCCTTATTTAAACGTAATTTTCGATTTCTAACAGCATTATTCTCAGCCATTCCTGTAAAAGTGATTACTTTGATAGGTAATCTGTACATAACTTATTGTTATCGTGTTGTTTATGTAACTGGTGGTTGTGTGAAAAGTTTAACACCAATTAATCAAACATAAGTTTATAAGAAATAATATATATGTTTTGTTTAATATTCAGGCTGACTACTAATTCTATTACAACAACTTGACTTACTGAGAGATATTCTACATTAACAATCCTCTACAAAATTATTACTGTACAAGTATTTTATCTTGCTAAAGAAAAAAATATATTTCTTACTTTAATATACAATGTATAAATATGAATTTAAAATTTGCTAAATAGTGTTCCCTAATATCCAAGTTTTTTATATTCAGTTCTCAGTTACTTGAAAACAGTTTATGGAAGACATTTACAATGATTTAGACATTCTGCTATTACCTTTTAAATCCCACATTAACTCAAACATGTTTGGATAACCAACAACCATTTCATCTGTATCAATGGTTAACATTGTAAAATTGGCCCTATTCAACAATGTTCCAACATCTCTAACTTCAGCAAATGGTGAAATGTGAACTGAAATCCCACCATCTCTCTCCAGTTCTGCTAACTGTAAAGAACTTCTAGAAAGAAACAATAGTAAAAAATAACATTCTTGCAATAATACTATTTTCCATATCATTCAAAGTACCTTAATTCATATAATGTTTGTCCTCCGAATATAGCTGCCAGGAAAACACCATCATTCTTTAAGCTTTTATTAACATTCTTGAGACAGCCTGGTAAATCGTTAACCCAATGAAGACTCAATGAACTTAATATTAAGTCTAAACTATTTGGTTCCCATGAAAAGTTCTCTTCGTCCATAACTGTCCTTGTTACTTTAACTCCTTCAGCTGTCTCAGCTTGATCGACATAGGTCGGACACGTATCGGTCAAGATTAACTCTTCTACAGATTCTGCCAAGATGTGCTTGGACACATGACCACGACCACATCCTAAGTCAAGTGCTTTTTTGAATTTTTTCTTTATGTCAAATACTCTATCTGCTAGTCTGTAACCTACTTCATCTTTGATGTAGTCATACAGCTTCACGTCGGATGCTTGTGCAGCTCGTTCTCTTTGAAGAAGCTTCGTGTTTCTGTCGAAAACGTACATTACACTATCCGAAGGTAGCGCAAAGTTTGACGCACTGTTAACGATGCGACGAACATTGTTAAGACGACTTTGAAAGTTGAATGCATGCCGAAAAGCATAACATTCCAGCAGTGTATGCATTTTTTGATTTCGAAGATTTAATATTTTTTTCCTTGCTTCAGACGATTATGTAATCTTAACATCGATAATATTTACACAATGCACATTCAGAATATTTAATACACATCATTTTACGGTAAAATTGTATCAGTCCTAATGAAAGCTTTAACCTTTAGAGTGTTTAGTCCGTACGTCGTACGGACAAAGTGAAAAGGTCCTCGACAGCTCGCCATTGTATTTTTTCTGTAGTGATGATCGTAGAACAGAACAGTGAGTGAAAAGGAAAAAGAAACTAACAATAAGTTAAAGGCACTCTACAAAAATTTAAATTTAAATGTCGCATATTGGAGAGGCAAAAAAAAATGCAACGATCAAACTTTTTTATTACATCCAATTTCACCTAACAATCAGTGTAATGCTCTGTCATATGCTCCGGGGGCCACCGGGGGCTCTAGAGCCCCCTTAGAGTCTTTTCCATTTTAGTATCAATATCTGTCGTTACTGCAACTATGAATATTTTGACAGAATGTTGATATAAATGCAATTTTGAAAGTTATCTAAGTTTCATTTGTTCCAATTGGCTTAAATATTCTAATTTTGAAAACTTTGTACATACATGCATACATTAACTGTAGTTGTCTGTTTCAAAAGGTTTCTACAGAAACTAGATATTGCCTTCGTCTTCTGTCATAAAATTCATACAAATACTATTGTAAATTGTATACTTTCTTACGATTTTTTCAATAAGAAACAGTTAAATTGTATATATATGTTATTCATTAATCCCCGTACTATCTCAACACCTATTCCTAATTTCACTTTGTAAGGAAGATATTAAAAAACAATGAATAATACCTAATCAAATAATAAATTTTGAAAGTTAAGAAACACTAATATCACCGACTAGGTATAGAATAGACCTATCATCCAATGCTTTTTTCTGTCCCCTGCCTTTTTACACTATCGGTATTTCAGAACATGAGACACGAAGTCCCATAAGATGATCGGTCTATCCTATACCTCGTCGGTGCTAATATTCGGCGCCAACTATTTTTCGGTGGTGGCTACCATAAAAAAGAATTCAGTGGTGTTTTTATGTTCTTACTAACAGATGGCGATAGCGGGTTTCAGCAAAGAGTAGTCGAGTCTTGATATTTGTCAGTTTCATCACTTTCGAGTTTTCGAGTATGCATGTGTCAGTATTTGTGTATTGTACCAAGTATTATCACTGACAGTGCCACGCGCAACCACGTGGATTTTTAATATTAGAGACTTACGTTAATTACGTATTTGTATTTGATTTATCCGTGTAAGTCATGAAACTATTGGCACGTACATCAAATGAATATACGTGTAAAATGTACTGTGCGTAATGATGTGAGAACATTTTTATGAGATTCTCGTGAATTTGATTGTGTAAATAACCACGTTGTCATAATGATATCAATTTACAATTCTGTATTTTATCGTTTAAAATGTTTTAAATATACTCTCTAAAATTCTTTCTGTATTTTCTTAAATAAACCATCATGGACGAAATTAAAGCTAAATATATATCTATCATAAATAACGCTTCTGTGTTGTAACTGTAATTATTATGGATGAGAATTAAATATTAATAATTAAGTTTTTATTTAGATTTCATAAAACATGTGTGAAAAAGAGAAGATTATACTTGTAACTGGTGGGACAGGATTAGTTGGTAAAGCCATTCAAAGTGTCATTGAAGCAGATAAAATTAAGAATGAAAAGTGGATATTTGTAGGGTCTAAAGATGCAGACTTATGGTAACTTATATTCTAATTATTATGAATTAAATAATTATGCTAGTGGAATTATAAAGATGAAAGTGTTATATTTTCAGTAATAAACAAGGTACAGAGAAATTATTTGAAAAACATAAACCAACACATGTTGTTCACTTGGCTGCTATGGTTGGTGGTCTATTCCACAATATGGCACATAATTTAGATTTTTTGGTAAACTAAGTTAACTTTAAATGACTAAGTTGTAACTGATGTAAAATTGATCAACATATATTCCTTAAAATTCTAGCGTAACAATATTCATATGAATGATAATGTATTACAAACTGCTCATGAAAATAATGTTGTCAAAGTTATTTCCTGTTTGTCAACTTGCATATTTCCTGATAAAACTACATATCCCATAGATGAAACTATGGTATTGTCATTCTGAACCTTATTATTATTTAAAATTTTAATTGACACTTGCATTTACTTTTCACTTTGACATTTCTTTAGATTCACAATGGGCCACCACATCCATCAAATTATGGTTATAGTTATGCCAAACGTCTTATAGATATAGCAAATAAAGGTTATTATGAACAACACGGTAGAATTTACACAAGTATCATTCCGTGCAATGTATTTGGTCCAAATGACAATTTTCATCCTAGTGCTAGTCATGTTATACCAGGTTTAATGCGAAGACTTTATGATCTAATAAAAAATGGTACAGAACATTTGTGATAAAGTTTTTATTAGTTATTTATTATTTCTAAGAATATCATTAGTATGAATACGTGTCTTTCAGGAAATACTGAAGATAAAACATTTACTGTATTGGGCTCTGGGAAGCCTCTGAGACAGTTTATTTATAGTTTAGATTTAGCTAAATTGATAATATGGGTGTTAAGAGGATATGATTCTGTGGAGCCAATTATATTATCAGGTACAAATAAGGTGGATGGAATATTACTACATGGTGTTCTACAATTAATAAAGTATTTACTTTTATATTAAACAGTGGATGAGTCTCAAGAAGTCACAATATCACAAGTAGCCGAAGCAATTGCACAGGCTTTTGATTTCAAAGGGAAAATAGTATATGATTTATCTGCAGCAGATGGGCAATATAAGAAAACAGCAAGTAATGCAAAATTACGAAAGTATTTACCAGATTTTCAATTCACACCATTTACTCAAGCTATTAAAGAGACTGTTGATTGGTATATAGCAAATTATGATCAGGCAAGAAATTAATGATCGTTAAACATTGAAATAATTCCACTTCCAGTATACTTGATTCATGTAAGTAAGTAAAATTGTAATTTACAATTGCTTTCCAATTGTATTTTATGTATACTAAATTTATTTAAATAATAGTTGAAATATCTTAATTATTATAGTAACAGTTAAGTTAAAAATTCCATTTTAATTAGTTTTGTATGTAGTTATACAAAAGTTTGTTGGAAGGTTGGAAAACTGTTGCATACAATTACATTTCCTCATTTGTGGTATTACTATAGTCCAATACACTATACATTAGAAAAATGAACTTATGTATGAAAATGCTACTGCTATAACTGTTGTATATTTTTGGAATAAATATTCTACAGATTTCATGTATTTTCTCCAGGATATTATTTTCATAAAACAATTGTTTGTACCACGATTGTAAAATAAAAGTTTATTTTTGAATAAAATTGTGGAGTTGTATTTTCAAAACATCTTGGAAATATTTTATATTTTTATATCCATTTATTCATCTTGATTCTAACTAAAAAATTGTCTAAATAATCAGTATTTATTAACAAAGGTATCGGCGTTTGTTCAATAACAATGGTTCGACAATAAAACAAACAAGGACAAAGTTTGTGGCATATCTATTAAGTGAAAGAGATCAATACAAATGCGGCTACAATTATCTATCATTCCAAGCAAATAAATCGAAATTATTACAGAGATAGTATTTATAATTGATGATACCTTCATCTTCCGTTGTATTCGTTTCCGTATACCGGTTGGGTGAACGTTAAATAAATAATTTATTTTAGGAACATACATGTTAGCCGTATTTTAAAAAATATTTTGCTTTTCGTTTTCAGATATGAAACTGGTTGAATAATCACCATTATCCCACATGTCTGACTTATCCATAATTACTTTCATAGATAAATTTTAATAATAACAACGCTTCGATTTAGCAAGAATGCAATAGGAAAAACTAAAACCCAACCACTCCGTTCACGTTACATTCTTGCCTTGTATCCTTATAATCTGTGGAAACTAAAGTCCGAGTATTAACAATACAATTCCAAATATAACTGCAATTATACACTGGTATTCTACTTTTAGTAACAAACATAACTATTCGAACAGCAGGTCCGCACATCTACAACATTACTGCAAATTTCTTAATACATACATAGGTATACATATTACATTTCTCCTCCAATTCATTTACACCCGAAGCATATTTTTCAATACAATCTAACAATCTTTTTACTTACAGCGAACCCTCAACTATTCTATCCTCTGAATATTTCCACCAATCCTTCTACACGTATGTGTATATTATACCTATCGTACAAAAGGATACCCCCATAAATAAAAAACAAAAGCAGTTTACATGCTTCGGTACTGTCCGTCCGATTAGAACGCATCAGACGATAACAGGAAGTGAAAACTGCGACACAGATCCGTCTCCGGTCCCATTCCAAGGACTTCCGAGCTTCGAGGACCACCGACGACAAGACAAACAAGCGTGGCCAACGGGCACACGGTGTGTACACTCGATATAAAACTGTCCCTTCGTGCCGAGCGTCCGTCGTCGCGACGCACATCGCGTCTGCGGGGCACGAAGCCGGCGTCGCGACGCACGCGCGTCCGTGAGCATAGATTGAGCGCCCTCCTCGGTACGGAGGAGCCGTCGCTGTAGGTGCACGATGGCTCAAATTCGGTGCGCTCAGTCGCGCTCGAGGTGGCTCACCTCGACGGTCGGGTCCTGGTGATAAAGTGTTTTTCTTTTTTTCACGGTCTGACGTCCGTCGTGGCCACGGTGTGTGCGTGCGTGTGTGATTGTGTGTGTGTGTGTGTGTGTGTACGATGTACCCATTGCACGTGGTGCGGCGTCGTCGGTCAGGGATCCGCGAGTGAAAATATGCAGCCCCGTGCAGGGTCTTGCCGCGACGCGGAAGAGGACCGCGGCGAGGAAACGATGACGACGGGGGTGCGTGTACACGCGTTGCGGCATCGTGCACGGTAACGCCGGGTGATCGGCATAGCCGTAGGGAATATATATATATATATATATATGTATATTGTATCACTGGGGTCTTGAAAACCAGCGAGAAACCCCGTCAAAGGAATCAGCCACGACGTGATTTGTTTCTTGAACTTGACCGAATCGAGCGTACAGGAAGTGACACGAAAGAATACCCCAAGATACTGTTCTCGATGTGTGGGGGTTGAGAAACGTGATAAGGAGACTCGGTACGAAAAATAGGCGGTTTGTTTGTCCGTCAGACGCGTGACTGACAGCGACTCGGAATAGACATCGTGTTAGGGTATTAATGAATGGTAAGATAATACTTAGAGGGGATGTGTGCGATTTGATTCGAGTAGACTTATGGGGTAAATTCGTTTTTTTTTTACTTGTGCGTGACTTGGAGGCTAAGTTGTTGAAGCTACTCGGATGGGAGGTAGTAAGGTGCCTAATTCGGGAGACAGAGATATGTTAATTAGTATTGATTGTGCGCCTGGAAGAGGGAAGTAATTCGACACGAGGTCTCCGGTTTGTTCTTTAGAGAATCGTGACCTTCGTCGTGGACAAGGCTTGGTCATTATTGGCTGTAGATGTTACATGTGTACAATAGGTGTCTGGTTTGTGTAGGCGAAGTGGAGAATAGTAGGAAAATAAAAGCGACACCGGCCTTTCCCGTTCGATGCGTTTGGCTTTGCGAAAAATGTCAGAGTATGTTCTGTTGTTCGGATAATGGAGAGTCAAGAAAAATTGAGAATTACGACCTAGTTCTTGGATAAGACTCGGTAAAGGTTGTACAGATTGCATGTACATAGGTATTGTTAGCGCGCGTCGCTAACACAGGTTTATGGCACGGTCGGGGATTCTTAAAATTGATTGGAAACCCTCGGAAGGAAACGTGTTCCTGACATTTGGCAACCAAATGTGCAGGAGACCCACCTTGGAAGGGTCCGCATGACCATCGACGTTCCATAAAACCCAGACTTCGGGACGGTACCTTTGCGCGGGGACTTAACGGTTTCTCGGAACCGCGTGAGGAAAGTGGAACCGACGGGAAAATCCGCGATGTTGACGAACTGCCGTCCACCCCCATTGTCAGAGGGTTGCGACAACCTCCTCCTTTAAAGTATCACGCCAAGGGCGCATGGAGGGGATGCACGGGCCCAGCAACCTTTTTTCCGGACAGTTTGTTGAGACAGTTAGTCAGAGACAGAGTCAAGCAAACAGTCACTCAGTACAGTCGGACCTATTGATAGAATTTTAGAACTATCCAACAATCAGGTTGGAGATCGAAGTGAACAGTTAGGTTCATTGTTGTATTTATTTAAGAGCACTCAGGCTCTTTCTGTACATACCGTTAATAAATATAGTTCAGTTATTAGTCCCAACATTGGGTGGTCCTTCGAGTTTTACCAAGACGGCACCTCAGTGCAAATACCCGCGATCTCGACCAAAACAAGTGTCGTGATCCTATCATTGGTCCTTCGAGCCGGATACGCGGTTAAAGACAATCTACTTCGAGGACGGAGGTTAACCTGTGGGAAGGCGCCTAGCAGTCAGGGAATCCAGATCGTGATATCTTTGCACCAGCAGAATTCTGCACCGTACCTGTGGGGAGGAATAGGTACCAGTAAGAAGATCCGCTGCGGAGAAGTACGTGGTGTTACACGGGAGACGAGGCAGATTAACCGAAGGCGCATAGTGGACTTCTTTGGTGTATCATCGGTCCAGCGCAGTGAAGTCATCCATATTGCATCCTCTCCAATCACAGTAAGCCATTCTTTCTTGTTTCTACTTGTGTTAGTCGAGCGTCGTTTAATATGGAAGCCGAATTGAAAGAGTTAGTTCTTGACCGTGGTCTAGTGAAGGCATCCTTGACTCGTTTTAAAACGTTCTGTAAAGACTCCGCGAATTTAAGTAATATATACGCGCTACAGAAACGGTTAGAAGCAAACATTGCATTGTATAAGAAGTTCAATGCTATTCAAGATAGAATAGAGCGGCTAGTGGCAGGAACGAATGTAGACGAAGCACACGCTTTCGAAAGAGATCAGTTCGAGAACACATATTTTGATTTAATCGCCGAAGTTGAATCCTTTATTGAAAGGTCACAACCGAAGAAAACTCCAGCGGCAGCTAGTACAGTAGTAGATACATCTCACTCACCCACACCCGTAAATGCACCAGTTGTTTTGCAAATGCCATCAATGCAATTACCATCATTCGACGGTAATTTTAATGATTGGGTTAAATTCAGGGATACGTTTTTGTCAGTAGTGCACGAAAATGGGGCCTTATCAGATATTCAAAGGTTCAATTTCTTAGATTCTGCGCTAAAGGGATCTGCCGCTCGCTTTATTCGGTCACTGGGAGTCTCAGAAATCAATTACAAGTTAGCTTGGGAAGGGTTGAAAGCACGGTATGAAAATTCCGTGGCTGTTAAAAGACATCATGTTACGTCATTATTAGATTTGCCTTCGATTCAAAAACCCTCGGCCGACTCAATCAGAGAATTTTTAGATGATGCTAGTAACCATCTATTATCATTAAAGGCTTTAGGAGAGCCAATAGAATCCTGGGATACTCTCATTCTTCCAATTTTGTCTAGAAAATTAGACTCAGTGAGTGTAAAGGAATGGGAAAGACGAACGGTTTCGTTAGCTAAGATCACGTTTAATCAGTTCTCAGTTTTCTTAGAAGAACGGTCGAATTACCTACAGAATCTTACAATAAACAGTCAGGTATCGTCTGCACGAGTCGAATCGGGTTTTAGAAACCCAGGTAGTCGCAAAGGAGTACGCGTAACTGCCCATGTTGCTAGTACGACAGTCAATTGTCCAGTTTGTAAGTCAAACCATTATATATACCAGTGTGAAAAGTTTAAAGGTATGACAATAAAGGATAAAACAACAATAGTTCAGTCATCTCGTAGTTGTTACAATTGTTTACAAACTGGGCATCAAGTGAAGAATTGCACACGTCGACATTGCTCTCGTTGTGGTAGAAAACACCACTCATTGTTACACCGCGATGATTTTCATTCAGAGAAAGAATTAGATAAGATTCCTAATGTTCAGAACACTGACGTTACATTGACCAGTGTTACGAACATCGCGAGCAAGTTAGATGCGTATACAGTGTTATCAACAGCAATAGTGCAGATTATGGATAGTAAAGGAAAAAGATTAGAATGTCGAGCGTTATTGGATTCTGGTTCATAAAGGCACTTCGTGACAAAGGATCTCTGTGAGCGTTTGGGAATGAAGGTTAATATGAGACAGGATCAGGTAGCAGGGTTAGGCAAGTCTCTCAATACTATTATAGGCAATGTTAATGCTTGTATATATTCAAAACACAATAGTTTTCGAGCTGATATCAAATGTTTAGTAATAAAGGATATTACAGATAATATGCCGAACTTACCATTACATAGAGCAGATATCTCAATACCGCCGAATATGAGATTAGCAGATCCTAAATTCAATGAGTGTCATAGAATAGACCTATTACTGGGAGCTGGTTTGTTTTGGAAGTTAATGTGCATTGGCCAACATAAAATTGCTCCTGAGTTAGTATGGCAGAAAACTCAGTTGGGTTGGATCCTTGGAGGGGAACTTCCCTCTTCGAACACAAACAAATCACTTCGCAATGCATGTCCTGTAACTACGGTAGTAGGTTTAGACACTCAATTACAAAAAATTTGGACAATTGAGGAATTAAATACAGAAGTCGAGGAAAAATTAGATAGTTGTGAGGCTTATTTTATAGAAACCACAAAGAGAAACGATGAAGGAAGATACGTAGTTAGGATTCCATTCAACGACAATTTGAGAATGTTAGGTACATCGCGACTACAAGCAGAAATCCGTTTACGTTCGATTGAAAAAAGATTAGCGAGGCAACCAGAATTACGTCAGCACTATGTTGAATTTATGAAAGAGTACGAAATATTGGGTCACATGTCACGAGTGCAAGATTCACAACTAAATCAAGAACCGTCATACTATCTCCCACATCATGCCGTGTGTAAAGATGGAAGTACTACAACAAAGGTTAGGGTTGTCTTTGATACGTCGGCAAAATCTTCGTCAGGTTTGTCATTGAATGACACGCAATTAGTAGGTCCCACTATTCAGAGTGATTTGTTCTCTATTCTTATTCGATTTAGAACACATCGCTATGTCCTTTCAGCGGACATAACAAAAATGTACAGACAGATTCTTATAGAACCAGAAGAAAGATGTTTTCAACGCATCCTGTGGCGTCAAAGTCCAGAATTGCCCATAGAAACGTTCGAACTTAATACAGTTACATATGGAACAGCATCGGCCCCTTTCTTAGCAACACGGGTATTAAAACAAATAGGTTTAGAATGTACACACACGTTTCCAAACGCGAGCAAAGTAATCATTAACGATTTTTATGTTGACGATTTACTAACCGGGGTTGCCACGATCTCAGAAACAAAGCGATTAAAGGACGAAGTTTCAGGAATATTACTCCAGGCCGGGCTTCCATTGCGTAAATGGGCAACGAATTGCCCTCTTATTTTTTAATCGTCCCCGGATACAGTAACGGCAAAAGAACTCAATGCAGACAAAGATCCAAAAACTCTCGGTCTGCAATGGGCGTCTGTTGAAGACGAACTCCGATTTTGTATTTCATTTTCGAACAATAAACGGGTTACAAAGCGTACAATATTATCAGAAATTGCTCAAATATTTGATCCATTAGGATTAATTCGACCAGTTATCACTCGCGCGAAATTAATGATGCAACGGCTATGGAAAATGCAGATAGGTTGGGATGAGACAATCTTCCAAGGCGTCAACCCGATGTCCCTGAAGGACAATAACCTTTGGTGGTCAGGTCCTTATTGGCTTAATGAAAATTCAGATATTTGGCCATCTTCAGACATATCCATTACAGAGATTCCAGAAGAAAGAAAAATTATTACTACATTAACGATAAGCACACTTCACGACTATTCCATTTTTGAGCGATTTTCGAGTTATATTCGTTTAGTACAGGTGGTTGCATATTGTTTCAAGTTTGTTTCAAATTGTCAGGCTAAAAAAATAACGTCACATGACAGTGTGTATCACACAGGGGTCAACTTAACAGTTAGTGAAATTCAGCGAGCCGAAAATGCATTGCTGCGTCTTGTACAAGCCAAGGTATTTTCTGGTGAGCTGACTGCACTAAGAAATAAACAGTTACTATAAAAAAATAGTCCAGTCATTACACTCTGTCCATTTCTAGATGAAAAAGGATTAATGAGGGTGGGCGGCAGACTCCAGTACGCTATCCTCAAATATGATCAAAAACACCCAATCATATTACCGGCAAAGCATCCATTCATAGATCTTCTAATTCGACATGAGCATATTAGATCGTTACACGCAGGATGTCAGCATGTAGTAGCGTCTTTGCGGGAACGGTATTGGCCTTTGGCATGCAAACGGAATGTGAAACGAGTAATTAAAAACTGTGTAAGGTGTTATTACTGTTATTAGTGTTATTTACCTGCCGTCCGAGTGACACCTGCTCGTCCATTCAGTACCTGCGGAGTAGACTACGCAAGCCCATTTATGACCAAAGAACGTGTTCGGACTAAGATCTCTACGAAGGCGTACATTTGTATTTTCGTATGTTTTGTAACAAAGGCAATTCACATAGAACTAGCTACAGACTTAAGTACAGATGCATTCCTGAATTGTTTTAGGCGCTTTATAGCACGAAGAGGTAAATGTCAACGCATCTTCTCAGATAACGCTACAAATTTTGTGGGGGCAAACCGCCAATTAAAGGAATTAAAGAGTTTTATTACTGGGAGTACATATAATAGTCAAGTAAATTCTTTCTTGAACAAGGAGCAAATAGATTGGAAATTCATTCCTCCCCAAGCACCAAATTTCGGAGGGCTTTGGGAAAGTGCGGTGAAATCTGCTAAATTTCACCTAAAACGAGTCATTGGTGAACAAAAATTGACATTCGAAGAACTCTACACGCTACTAACACAGATAGAAGCATGCTTAAATTCCCGCCCTCTCAGTCCCATCTCTTCAGATCCTACTGACTTCAATCCGTTAACTCCCGGACATTTTCTAATTGGCAATGCACCTAACGCGTTACCGGACCATGATCTCAAAGATGTACCTACTAATCGATTAGGCAGATATCAGTTAATCCAACAGATGTTCCAAAACTTTTGGCAACGGTGGCATCGAGAGTACATCCACCAACTACAACAGCGGAATAAATGGCATATCACATCGCCTCAGAGGATAATGGAAGGGACGTTGGTTATACTCAAGGATGACAATTTACCTCCACTACGGTGGTGTCTTGGGAGAATCACGCAACTACATCCAGGAAAAGATGGGGTAGTACGTGTTGTATCCATCAAAACCATCGATGGAGAGTATAAAAGGCCCTTAACCAAACTTTGTATATTACCCATAGAAGATAACAATTTAACAACTTAGAATATGCGACTAACTTACTATATAATCAGTAATATTATTGTAAATAGATTCCCTAGTTTATAAACATTTAGTTAATCAGTGCGATAGTATAATTTAATTTATGGACTTGAATCTTTCGGGTTATTATATTGTACATTACATCCACTTTGTAAATATTAGGATAAGCAACATTATAGTACAAATAAGTTATCTAGGTTTATAATTTAGGGTGTTTTACGCAAATTCAAAGCATATATGCTTAATATGGAGAAGTTATAACTTGTCTAGAACTCGCATAACGATGTAGTTCATAGATTCAGTAATAATTCCGTTGTTCTTTCGACATTAGGTTAGGATACATATTAGGTTACATAGGATGAATGGATTTAGATAATTAAATACACAGTGCGTGTTCAAGGTGGGCGGCATGTTAGCGCTCGTCGCTAACACAGGTTTATGGCACGGTCAGGGATTCTTAAAATTGATTGGAAATCCTCGGAAGGAAACGTGTTCCTGACATTTGGCAACCAAATGTGCAGGAGACCCACCTTGGAAGGGTCCGCATGACCATCGACGTTCCATAAATACCAGACTTCGGGACGGTACCTTTGCGCGGGGACTTGACGGTTTCTCGGAACCGCGGGAGGAAAGTGGAACCGACGGGAAAATCCGCGATGTTGACGAACTGCCGTCCACCCCCATTGTCAGAGGGTTGCGACAACCTCCTCCTTTAAAGTATCGCGCCAAGGGCGCATGGAGGGGATGCACGGGCCCAGCAACCATTTTTCCGGACAGTTTGTTGAGACAGTTAGTCAGAGACAGAGCCAAGCAAACAGTCACTCAGTACAGTCGCACCCATTGATAGAATTTTAGAACTATCCAACAATCAGGTTGGAGATCGAAGTGAACAGTTAGGTTCATTGTTGTATTTATTTAAGAGCACTCAGGCTCTTTCTGTACATACCGTTAATAAATATAGTTCAGTTATTAGTCCCAACATTGGGTGGTCCTTCGAGTTTTACTAAGATGGCACCTCAGTGCAAATACCCGCGATCTCGACCAAAACAAGTGTCGTGATCCTAACAGGTATCTTTGGGTTTGCGAAAAAAAACGTTAGGGTTTGTAATTTATTCGGATAATAGACAATGTGGAAGGAATATCGGAATAATTGAATAGGTTCCAAGGTGTTCCTTTTTCCAGAAAAATCAATTTTCCCGGTGATTCTTCTTTGCACAAACGAAAAGTTACGTCACCCTCGCTTTCAATCTTATTCCGGGCGAACAAAGCGATCTTTCTTTAAGGTCTCGCGACTCTTTTAATAGTTTCCATTTATTCCGGATAAAAAAGCGAGGTATGTAAAGAGATCTTGCTCTGTGCGACTGCAGTTCGATGAGATCGGTAAGGGTCCTGGTGACTTCGGGAACGCCGATGTTGTCAGCAAGTTTCAACGATCCCCCGAACATCGGATAATTCGTAGTTACAGTAAATCCTCGATGAGTGTTCAAAGGCTTCTCGGCATTGACAAAGAGAGATTCCCAAGTGTAACGCTGACTTTTTTCACGAGGTTTAGCACAGTGATAGAGCTTGGAATTCTGAAGTCAACGACATTTGTTTCAGCCGGAAATGGCCATTAGTTTATGAAATATTTAATGTTCAGTGCCGACGAGCCTTCGAACACTCATCGAGGATTTACTGTACTTGTTAAGTGTAAAACTCTTCCACCCGATGTATGTAAACGTGTGTGTATACAGCGTTGTTCATAACTGTGGATCAGTCTTCAGTCATGGAATGTTTCGATACGATTACAAAATTTATCGTGCAGTAACACTTTAGAATTTTTTACTCGATACGTAATATTGTCATTAAATATATAAGTAAACGAAAAAGTTTAATTTCGATATGAAGTGAAGGGTGCTCCACAGTTCGAGCGGCAGTTTCAAATGTAAAAAAACCAATTCTATTAACTTTAATTTCATTATGCGTACATAGGAGAAAGGAGAATTATATTATAGCTTGGACGAGGGATTTTATAAAGACCGGTATTATCCTATCTGCTTATTCAATTTAATAGGACTTCGCTCTGCTTTTATGTCGCGACTTCATTTTATGCACGTCCACTCATTGTTTCACAATACGTATTCTTCATTAAAACTAACTGAAATAAAAATGACGAGGCTAATTGAATTCACGAAACGTTGCGAATTTCGTGTTTTTTTTTATAAAGGGCGAGATATTTACGAAATTTACTGTCAGCGATAAAAAGACGAAGAGATCTGCTGACGTTAATTTAAAAGAGCTGATTCAGTAATTTCAATACAATTCTTGGGCTATTTTCTTGTGAGAATTTAAATTGATATTTTTACTGCTTAGTTCTATAGCAATGTTGTAATAATTATAACGACGTCCTTTAATGACAATTATTTAAATGCAATTGCACCAAGTTTTTTTTTATCATTTTTCATACACCTTGATCCTGTATGTGATTTTGCAAGGAATGATGCAATGCGGCGCGGTATAAAGTTAGACACGGTACGAAGTCACGTAAGTTTTGATGGTATATTCAAAGTAAAAATATTTTACCATTTAATGGATACTTTAAGAGTGTTATTAGCCGGCGATATCGTTGGATTATTATTAGCGACGATCAAAGGGTAGTTTTCGCGTCACGGCGGTCCGCGTTCGTACGTCTTAGCTTCGGAAAATCGTTAACGAACGTGGTAAATGACCCGGGACACAGAGGGGTAAGGATAGCAGCGGAATTGGCGATCGTCCATTTCATTCTCGTCGTCCCTATAAGCCCCAGCGCGTGTCTCTCGATATGTCGATGCCGCAACTTGGCTTCTCCGTGTTTCCTTTCACCCCGAACAACGGCAGTCGATAAAATTTTAATTAAAACAACGTTCCGTCTATTGTTGACGTTTCCACGGACCTACGGACGAATGTGCAACCAATTTTCTCCCGTATCTTGCCCGTCCGTTCCGCGGGCGTGTCACGTGCGAATAGCGAATCCCTATCTTGAAATAGGAAACTACGTAATAGCACCACTTGTTTTCGGTTCAATGTCGTGTTTCCTTAAAAGCAACGGCGAATATTGTTATTCTGTTGAACCACGCGTCAAATCGATTTCTATTGCAGCTGATTCATTGAAATAGTCGACTAAAAATTCTCGTAAAATTTCAAATTTGCATTTAATGTAAAAAGAGGAAGATATAATTAATAGTACTTTAACTTGGTTTGATTATGCTACCTGATTATTTCTTATTGCTCTGTAATTATTTCATTACTAGTACGTTTAAATTATACACGGAAAGTGTGAGAACCTTTGAGATGGCAAAAGAAATATTAGAAGCTGTTAAAAATAAATTATTACTTGTTATTATCATAATAATGGATATCATAATAATCATTATCATAATAATGGATATACCCATGTGTATATTGAAGAATATACATATTTATGAATTACAGTACTCTTATCGCTAATAAATGTCATATTTTTTATGATAACGTATAATTTCCATGAATAAAAAAGTTTATTTTTATCATTTTTCATACACCTTGATCCTGTATGCGATTTTGCAAGGAATGATGCAATGCGGCGCGGTATAAAGTTAGGCACGCGTTCCCGTTTCATTTAGTACCTCTTGATTCGTATTAAGATTCGTTATTAATCTACACCATAATACCCACAATTCTTTACGATCGTATTTAATTTCCCCCGACAGTTTATCGATACCATTCGCTCAAGAAATTACCCACTGTATCATTAAAACACAGACTGGAAAAACCAACGTAGGATATTCTGGCGAACCCGGTAAATTGTTACGAAGACATTTATGCAAAATCAACGATAAACAAGAAAAGGAAACCGCAGTGTCGTCACGAACTATCCTGTACGTATAAAACCAACCGAGTGACCACGAAGCATCGCGATAACTACCGAGGTTCCGTTCGCATGAGAAATCGACGGGAAGGGTCGCTAGTTTGGACTCAGCAGTGCGAGATATAATTTATGAGTCAGTAGAACAAGTAACAACACAGTCGACAAAGAGGAAGATAAATGTCCAGTAAGTCGATTCTCGTTTGGATCGGTTGAGATAAGTGAGAGATGCATTGTCGTCGATCGGTGCTACACACTGTCAATGTCTCGTGCACACAAGGAAACGATCGGCCCAACGGTTCCTAATAAAGTCCGTCCACGGGGAGGATGGCGAGGACTCGTGGTCGGCTGGACCAAAGTTACGAAAACGCGCGTCCCTAGTCGCGAGGACGACCTCGAGGATGCGACCGACGTTCCTGATGTGTCAAGACGAGGTCTATCCCGTTGCTTGGTCCACGTTCCCGTTGCCCGGTGATTCGAGGACGAAAACGGGCGACACGGGTACCAGTCGCGATGTCTAGAAGATCGAATGGGAGATAAGGGTGAAACGAGCGAGAAGATATGCCTGGTATCGTGGCGTTCCGACGCCGATGGGGCGTCGGCAGCGACGATCTCGTCGTGCCCGGCGCTTTCCTGTTCATCCTACATCTGATATGGTGAGCGAACATTTTCGATATTAATATCGTAGGCCCCCTTCTCTCCCCCCCCCCACTTGTCGGATCAATCACTTTAATATGTTGCAAAAAACAAGTAATGACGTTGATATAAAAGATAATTGTACAAAAATTTTACTGTGCTTTTTTGAAATGTGCACAAATATATACGAAAAACGACAAGTTCCTTGGTCCATTAATTCTTAGTTCTAAAAATCGTTTAAAAGTGACGCCTGTGAGTAGGAATATCCTCTTAAAATAGGATATACTTACACCATAATTCCGTGTGACCTACATTTTCGGCCTCGATGCATGGCCAGGTATGTATGTTCGGTGTTGTATTTCGATTAATTAATCGAGATATTCACGGGCCGTCATTTCCGCATCTTGATCACGGTTGTAAATTCGATAATTGGCCCCGCGTAAATGTAGACTAGACGTAACACGAGGTCGACGTCGTCTACGGATATCGCGTCGTATATGAATCGGATGGTTAATTGTATCAATCTGTAATTAAGCGTGATTAGGCACGGAGAGGGATTTCGATTACGTTTCCGAGCATCTTCCCTCGAGCTGCACCCTCTAACTTGCAGGTTTTAGGCGGATTCACCCTTGTCCTCGGCGCCTATCACTAGAGTTATGGGCAGAGATGGGCAAATTCATTATACCCAGATAAAGAGTTTCGAATAACGAATAAAAGATTAAAAAAAAGTACTTCGCAATTTGTAATCGTTTAAACGTGGGTATTCTAATTTTTATAACGAAATAATAATTCTTCGATAAGTCGACATTGACGACCAATTATTTAATCTCATTAAAATTACAAATTTGCATTTAATGTAAAAAGAGGAAGATATAATTAATAGTACTTTAACTTGGTTTGATTATGCTACCTGATTATTTCTTATTGCTCTGTAATTATTTCATTACTAGTACGTTTAAATTATACACGGAAAGTGTGAGAACCTTTGAGATGGCAAAAGAAATATTAGAAGCTGTTAAAAATAAATTATCATAATAATGGATATACCCATGTGTATATTGAAGAATATACATATTTATGAATTACAGTACTCTTATCGCTAATAAATGTCATATTTTTTATGATAACGTATAATTTCCATGAATAAATCGTGTTATTACTACAGCTAATGGTCGCGTGAAACTTCCATTAATTCATATAGGCAATGCTTGAATCTCTACAATCTGCCTTAAATGTCACATTTGTTCAATTGTTTCAAGCCGTGAGAGAATATCGTTAAAATTGAAAGGAAATGATTATCATAAAAAATAATTTATTTAATCATTTATATAGGATCTATATACTAAATAACCTTCCATTATACATCATTCTTGCATTATTATTATTATTGTTCCTCATTATGTTTAATTAGAAATAAACCTGGGTATTATAATGGTATCGAAATTTTGCAATTATTAAATACATATAATGGTATCATTTATATATTAATTTGAGTTTGACTAATTGGTGTCATAAATGCCCTATAATCACCTATTCCAGTAACAACATCATTTATTGAGAAGCATTGTACATGTATTTTCATCCCGTTTTAGATATCTAAACAGATCGCTTTCCAACCACTGGAAATATTTGAGTATTCAACTTCACTCGCGTATCGAAGCATAGTTTAATGCACATTTTCCAAGTGCTCCAGCAACTGTAATAGATCATCATTGATGTGTCTGTTAGCAACACTGTAGTGTTCCATAGGTTCATGGAATGCAGGACTAAAAACATAACGAATAATAACTGAATATTTTCTAAAATATTAGTGATATCGTTATATGCTATTAGGTCAAATTGAAGTGGTGTCCATACTTTTGTTTATTTATCTCCTTTACAGTCAAAGTCAATTAATGTTGTATATAATTAAAAAGCGTATATAATTAAAAGCAGATAAATTATTATCATAAAAACTATTTATTTTATTTGAGAAATGCAATGAACGAAACTTTCGGTACTTCTAGGTGGTTTTTTCGTGATGGATATGACGAGGAAGTGTAATATGGGAACCATGATCGCTTGATCTTACTCTACTTTACTACATATTTTTTATGAGGATATGTCACACACCGTGTGACGTTATCGGTTTCAACAATAGAGAACGAAATGAAAATTCTAATATGTCAAACGTGAGAAAAAACTGTTTTACAAGATGTCGTTATCTTGTTATCCTTGATTTGAGAAATGTTTACAAGTTGTAGGTCAATATCTTGAATCAATTGATAAATTTGATCGAAATGATAATTTATTTTTTCTTTATCTACAACAGTCTTTATCTAATCATGTTCATTGAATTCGTCTAAATATAGATGTATATTCAAAAACATATAGTTTCATTTAAAAGAAATAAGTGACTTTGAAATCTCCAATTCTTTAAGTTACAAAAAAATCAAACTAAGCGAAAAAGTGGATACCATTTTTGTTAATAACATTTTTCAGCGTCAACAATACTTTAGAAAATATTTGGTCGTCTCCCTTTATGTACCTCACCTTCCATGTTAAATCACTCTAATAATAATTCATTTAATATTAATGAAGTCTTTATTAGGTGTTGTACATTCAACCGTACTATGAATGCGTAAGGCTCCAGTCCACGAGTTAATGACAAACCGTGGTAGTATTGTATAATGGATTCTGTAAAACTGTCTGTGTACAATACACTATAACATTACTGTATTACAAAAGAATATACCCAAATATGGTGTATATGTTTACATAAATCTTTTTTTTCATGAATACCCTTCACATTTCAATTGATACCCTTAAGGCTCTTCAGAATATACTTGAAATACATCGTAGGATTTCTTCGGTTCTTCTGCCCCGCGATAAACCGGTCGAGCATACTTACATACATATAGTTTCGTTCCGCGTTTCAGTGATTCAGTGCATCCGTGACAGCCGGCTGGCTACGAAGTCCGGCGGTTCGGTCGTTCGCCTTATCCCGTGCTTCTACGTAGTACGAAGTGTGTGGCGGTCCGGAGACGTGTTCTCGCGTTGCTCCGTTAGTGTCTATAGGTTATGTCATCGCGCATGCATGACGTTTTCACCCGCGTACGAGGACGATTGCTGGATCGAGCCTCAGAAACATCGCCGGCGGAAGAATGCCAAGTCTCATCGCATTCGGTAGACGTTGGAGAGTCGGTAGCGATGACCTCTTATTACCGGTTGCCACCTTGGCTTCAATACACATACTCGAGTAAGTGATGCGTGCGTTTAGTATAGTATGGTAAGTAGTTAAAGGGGCAGGGTTCACTCGTCGCACCGATATCAATTTCGAACTGTCACGCGGCTGCATTTTTAAGCAGTAGCCGTTCGTGCACGATCGACAGATAAATTTAACCGGCGAACGTTTGCTTTTCTGTTGACGACTTTGATCGATGAACGAGCTCGATGCGAAACATCCCCGTTCCGAGCACGACGATCGACCTGTTCCTTGACATTCTGGTTTCGAGAGGTCGATATATGTATGTCTGTTTCGTAGATGAAATCGGAAGCGTAATTTTCGTGTACCTTGTAACACGTAGCCGCGAGTGCATAACGAAATTATATTGTGTGACCAGCGAAGCATTTCGTTACACATACATACGTATACGTTTTGCGTTCGTAACAATTGGATGGTGTGAAGTATATTCGAGCATTTTTGCGCCTCTCGTAATGTCGATTAATCGATAAACGTCAGTTTTGGGTGTGACGTAACAGTACAGATATCCGGTAACAGTTTTACCACAAACCTTCGAAATATATGCGAGAATTTAGTCACGTATCAGAATACAGTATTCGTGCCCCTGTTTCGAGATGTACGTTGGAAATCGTGATAGAGGTACTAGTAGAGTAATGTGCTGCTAACAATTAGTTTTGTTCTGCGAAAGTTTGTATCGTACGTTAATCGTTATATTTATAGTCTCTGTAACGTTTCTTGTCATTTTCTTCTCGCGTCTCGTTAAAAGTAACTGGTACTGAAAAATCGATGGATATGTGAAGTAATTGAAAGTGATTTACCATGACGCGGATAAATATCGACGATTAGTTTAGTGTACAAGTGACAAGTCTAGTGTGCGTTACGCGACGATCCGAGGTGGAAGGGAAACTTTTATTGAACGCAACACGGAACTTCTCTGAAGAGTAATAACCGCGATCGGATGTGGATATATGCACAAGGTAGGACATTTTCCTTCGTAGTGACGTATCGTGTTTTCTCAACTGAGATCGATCAGACGCGGCTAGACAGAAAAAGCGTTTGATGTTTTCGTCCATGGTAATGTATAATCAAACATCTATAAATATTTATGTCTTATGTGGAGACACGAGCGTTTACATTACCAAAATTTCTTATTTTGCCTTCGTTATAACGAAAAATTTGGATGGATATGTACGATGGCTAACAAAAACAATTGTTTTTCAATAGGATTAACAATTGCATGATGAATTACGTAAAATAATTATCAAGAAAATTTGGTGGAATTTTTTTTTGATGAAATGAAATTTTCTTTATGAAATCCTATAGTAGCAGAAGAAGAATAGTCCGAAAGATAATTTAGGCTTATCGTAGCTTGTATATACAAACTGGGAAAAACATTTTCGTTTATCAGTGTTTTATGAAATAAGTGATTGCAACGTTATTTTGAATTATGACTGTGTCGAGGTATCCTGTGTATCTTAATGTTCGCTGCGGTATTTCATTTGACGCACGTGGTTCTGCTTTCAGCCGCCACTGCGGTGAACAAGCAAACCCCTCTTTTTTTCTTAAATGAAACACCACATAAATCTCTGTATTTTTAGGTACTTATTTTGAAAATCAGTAGTTTTGCGTACTTTAAACACTCGAAGGAATACAAAAAGTGTAATAGACATCTTGAAAAATGTTCAGATATGCAAATGTTCTTAAATATTGCAAGCTCTAACTCTAACGGCTTAAATTATACCATAAATAATCCATATATATATTCTTTCTTAAAGTTGGTATTCACTTTTTTATAAC